TTTCCACTTGAAGATGGGAGAGCTTTAGAAGGACAAGAGAGGTGTTTCAGTTTTGTTTTGTAGCCGCAGATGGGCAAGATCAGGCTCCACATGTCCCACTGACACTAGGCCATGCATAGATGAAGCATCCTAATGTGCTAAGCATTGTCACTGACCCTGCACTCATCGCCTTCTTGGTTGCCTGCTGCCGTGAGGTTCGAAGGCAATGGAGTCAATGGCGTGACTTCGATGAAATAGGAGTACTTTCAAACTGAGCTTTAAGGCTTTTAAGTATACGGGATGGGCCGGGGAGAGTCGATACCAATCATCATGTCAAGGCCGAAGTCGGCGGCTTTTAGAGCTCTCGACCCCCAGCCATGTGACGTGTTGCGGAGAAAATCCCGCCTACCAGATACATGCGGTCTCAGCGTTTCATGGCAGTAAACTACTTCCGCTCCTTCAAAGATTGGACATGTACCACGAGGAGCGCAGTATGGTAGATCAAAGCTGGACAAGTGTGAAGACGCCTAAGCATCTCACCCTTTGGCAGCAGGCTATTTCAGTGAAAAGAAAGATGTGACACATATATGCATACCAGGACCCTCCAAGGGGTGCCCTGTCTGGAAGCCTATAGGTAGTGTGAGGTAGTCCATTGGACACCCCTTGGAGGGTCCAGGTACGAGTGTTCGTACGTTAATGCTATAAGTTATTTATATAATATATCACACTAGGCTACAACAGTGTAAAGGAGTCACGTCAGGCAAGTGAGCCAAATAGTTTAGTGTTGGTAGCTCGGGCCTTTGTTCACGAGTGAGAAGTCATCCTCCAAGTGATACTGTTGATGGACAAAATCCTGCACCACTTCGCGCACGGTTTTCTTGCTGCCCTCATTCTCCCTCGTTAACATTGGGGCCACCACAGTGAGAATATAAAAGCAAGTTGAAGGTCCAAAATCCTGCACCACCTCCTCAGAGTGGTCGCGCCAACATTGAATGAGGGGGCGCGGAGGTTGCTATGCGACCCTTCCACGGTAAAGTGGTGAGGTGGTGCAGGATTTCGTCCATCAACAGTACCTCAGATGGTCTCCTTCTTCTTCCACATGTGCGACTACCTCGAGTACAAGGTCACCAGCCGCAACATAGGACCGGCTGAGCCTCCCACGGTCCAGATTGTTTGTTAGCGCGGAGCATCCTGGGAATCCTGAGTGTTTCAGGTTTGGCCAGTTAGCCAAGATGAGCTTGGAAAAAGAGATTGGTTTTGCACCTGGGGGAACATCATAGTTTTCCCCTGTCATGTTGAACTCGTGGTTTTCCCACATCAACTGGCACTGAGATTTTACCGATCTTATTCCCTTGTGTGTTGTAGAAGTTTGTTTCGGGAGAGCTTTCGGACATTGTGACATTGTTTGATATTGTTTGATTGTTGAAATGCAGTGCGCCTCTCCCCTAGGCAGGCTTGTTGGCGGAAACAGCCAGTGTTAACCAGTGAAGTTGCAAAAGCAGAGATGTACTCATTCATATGTGCCCACACATCCACGATGCACATTCAAGTGAAAGACGGAAAGAAGTGGAATGCCTGTGTACACCAATCGCAGACATCCGCAGCTGAAGCAAGTGCAGCCATGCCTGCGAGGACCCTTGGGCACTTCAAAGTACACCGACCGAGCTCCTCTTCTCATTCAGCTTCCAGTGTCAATGGACAAGCAGGACCCTGATGTCTTTTCTCCAAGTTCGTAATCCAAGTGCATTTAGACTGCACAAAGAACGTCTCCAAGTTCACGACCGATTTGCATTTGATTGCGCAAGTGTACGATTCATCAGCAAAAACAACGCGCTGAGCCAGATGGTGTGAATCGCATGATGGGATTCAAGTATATAATCATTTTGTGTTTCCGCATGTGCATTTCCTTCATGCACACCTGCTCGGCCCCCGCCTGGAACGTGTTTTCCTTTGCAGAGCTCGCCCCATTCCCGTTTCCGACACGAAGCAGGAATGTCCCTTGATGTGCAACATCACGTCAGGTGGGATGCTCGCTCCGTCGGACCACGGGACGTCGTCCGACCGTGTTTGGGTCCAACGGAGACGATGATTTGACGGGTCTCCCCCTGGACCAATTAGCTGCCTTCTCACCCTGGATTGAGAAACGTGATTTGGGGAACGCACCAGCCCGGACAACACCAGCCATCGATCTGTTGTGCAATACATGTCCCATAAAGGCATCTCCATTGAGATGGCTAATGACAGAGCCCGTTGGACAGCGCTCACAGATGATTGGCTCCAACACCATGGCCTTAATACCAAGCGCGCCCACATGAATATATTCCTTGCTTCAGCTGATTCGTACTTGTGGCATAGATGCTGTTGCAGGGTTCGTTTCACGGGCAGCAAGTGGTTTTTGGGTGAATTGCTCCGAGGGACCTTCGAACTGGACCGTGTGCTGGGCTGGAGGATCTACCCAACGACCTGGGTCACCGGATGGATCCGACCGACCTTTCATCTTCGCATGTTCATTGATTCTACCACAGAAGATCCTGCACGTTCGCTAAGCTAGCTTCATGCATTTTTTGGATGCACTTCCTGTGTATGCTGACGGTTGTTTCCACGCCAAAGTTGTAGTACACGTGGAAGTATCTTCTCTACCTGTAAAGTGGTTCCACCGGATGAAGCTGCTAGCCGATGAGCTGGGCGGTTGAGATGGCTGGGCCACAGTTTCGCCTTCAGCCTATCTGAACTTTGCAGATGGCGATGGAGAGAGAGAGAGAGGGTGCATTTTGGAGTGTATGTTCTTTGTTTTTGTTGTAGAGCGATTTGGTGTAGCTATAACTGCTGTATGTGTTTTGTCCTATTATTAGCGGCGTTTGGGTATTCTTCCGTGTTTGTGGGGCCACTGATTAGCTGCAAAGGGTCTATATCACAGCAGGCTTTGGGGATCTTCAATGGACCAAAGTTCTTCACAACCCTGTTTTGTGAGCAACTCCTGGACTTGGGGATTGAAAGGGGTTGAAAGGAAAGGAATCACCTGAAAGTTGAAAGGATGGGTGAACAGGAGCCACCCGGAAGTTCCTAAACAAGATTGTCTCGACATCGGATTTCGGGTGTTCTCTTCGGGATCCTTCAACCGTATCACTTCGTTGTTTCGATGCTTCTCTCGATGATGTGACTGGTGCAGGTGCCAGCCAAACTGTGCTGCCTTACCGAGCGATGACGAGCACAGGCGCGGTAGACCGACCGAGGTGCTGAGCACCAGCCCTACTGGGGGGCTACGCTGGGAAGAGCTGGCACAGGAAGAAGCTGTGACCCTCGCAAAAAAAAACCGTTCTGACCCACCCCAGACCATCCATGGGAGTGGAATACAGTAGTTACATATACCGTATACCATTTACCCCATTGAACCTTAAGAGAAAGATAAAGTGACTCTTCCACTCCCATGGATGGTCTGACCCACTGACCACCAATCCACCTTCAGTCGAAAGTAAGGGCAGTGGCACAAACGGATTTGGAACTCGTAGAACTCATGCATTTTGATGCTCCCCTAGGGCTGCAAGGACCTTCTGAGAAGGTGTTTGGGGTGGGTTTGGAGGGTCCAAATACCTTCTGAGGATGTACTTGGAGCCCTAGGGTTCATTAAAAGGGGATTTGGATGATGTTTGAAATAGAACCGTCAGTAGGTGGACATACGAAATGTGCCCCCCAAAATCCAGGCAAACCAGTATAGTAGGTATAACCAGTTGTTCCAAAGACTAAAGCCGTAGACCTAGGAAGCCTGGTTTCTTATATTAATTTAGTAGATGGTGGTAACTGGGATCCATGGGGTTTCATATGTTCTCCAGTCTAAATTCCAGCCATGCCATCGCACAGGTTCCTGGCACCAGCTGCTGCGACGCTTGCGCAGGACGCGCGTGTAGCTGCGCGTGTTGAAGTGAAGATCTCTCCATCATGGAAGTAGAACATGGCCCCGTAGATCACCATTCCCCTCTACAAACAGGTGGTGAATTCCATGAACCATCTGAATGACTCGAGGAGGAGAACCGGTGCAGGGTTTGATCAATTCAGAAAGGGCGTGATAGGGACAGGAAGATTAGTTATGGTTACTTGCTCATGACTGACCACTGATGTCAATATGCTTGTGCTTGCAGCTTGTAGCAAGACATTGCACCTTGACCCTTTGACCCTTTTGGATGGACCGGCCGCATTGCGATGACCTAGCTGAGCATTCTTATATGAATTGATCCAGACCATTTGCTTTTGCCACGGTCCATTTTTGGTGGCCATGTGAATACCTAGACTACTATAGACCCTGAGTGGCCTCTACTTTCGACCAGCAACCACCCAAACTAAATTGTGGTTGTTTTTTGGAATCGAAGCAGGTTCACAAGGTACCCATGCAGTGAAACCATGCCTCAGCTGCAGGATTTGAGTGCTGCTGTACGAAACGACTGGTGCAAAACATGACCTTTGCGCGGGTGATAGGGATGAGGGAAAGTGCACGGGCGGCTCGTGTGGCCGAGGTACGGATGTGTGTTGTGAGGCAGTTTCAGGTTCGTGGATTTGTTCCTCAAGGTCAAGGGGGTTATTGTATATCAATCAATTAATCAACCATCAACATGATCATGTTCGTTATCTTCCCTGCGGCTAAATTCCCTCTTGGGAATACTTTTGTACCTTTTCCAGGTGCCTTACGCAAATCCAAGGTTTCATCCAGGCAGATTGCAATCAAAAAAGATCAGTCTCAGTTAGAGCTCTACTCGCATCACTTCAGACACAAAGTGGATGGCGCTTCAACGTCGTTTTTCTAAATGCAAACATGGTGCTTTTCTCAGTCATTTTTGTGTGTTCATTAAGTTTGCCACGTATAGCAACTCACCCCGCTGTAGCATTTTCCAAACCCATTGAATATGTTCCATCAAAGTGCACATGCCAATCCACACCCCCAAGGCACGCGGACCGCGGACCGCAAAACGTCTCGCTTGAGATCCGATGCCAATTCCCGTGAATCATCACCGAATCGGCTGGAGACCGAGGCTTGAGCGATCCCCTTTTGGCAGCTTCTTTGACGCGACCCGTCGGCAGTGAAGGGAGGTGACCAAGAAAGAGACGCCCAGCACAAACCGGTTGTAGCTGGACGTTTCCAGCGGGGGTTGGCGCTGTCATTGCAAGATTGCAGGAACACAGTGCTTTGATCCCCTGCACAGTGCTTTGATGATCTCATGATGGTCCCGCGCATCGAAAATCTGGGCCACCTGGAGGCTGGCAGCGCTGTGGGCCGTCGTCTATCCTATTGCCGGATGGCCGAGCAGAGAGTTTGGTCGATCGGTGGGTGGGCAGCTCGGGTCCATTTTCTCAGTGGTTCTTCGGATGATTAGTTAGGAGGTCTGGTTGCATTGTATCCCCCCTAGAGCTAGAATCGTAAAGCCGAATTACAAGTCCAAAGATCTAGTACGTCTAGTAAACCCGGTCTTTTGCTTCCTTTTGTATCCTTTTGTATTACCAACTCCAGTCAAGTGAGGTCCCACTGACCAGGTACTATAGGATGCTATAGGATTGTAGCTATGGAGACCATGTTATGTAACATTCTGTATATAATACTGTATATCACCCGTACCCAAGTGACCGAGTGATACAACACCATCGTTTCTTGGTGGCCGTTCTGTCACGACACTGGAACCAGGTAGCACCCCAAGTCGTGTCCACCCTGTGAGTGCCCGAATTCGGTGTACAGCATGCTACAGCATGCTACAGCAGCTATGGCTATCGTTTAAGTGAAGGCGATCCAACAAGCTTTTGGTCACAATGGCGTTGTTGATGTCGGTCAAGTCACGTCCATGAAACATGGGGACATAGCCCGAAACAGACTCTGGGACATCAATGATAGGTTTGGTGGGATCTCATCAACCTGCACAACGTCCAGGTGACCTTTGTGACCCTACACCCCCTGGTCCTTAGTAGTGTAGGTTCAACCCTCCGGAGGGTTGTTCACACCATCTCATCTTCCCTCATCTTCCCACCACAGCGACATCCAAGGTGACCTTGTGTGGGGTCCCAGTGGATTCGCTCATCCGGCCGTACTCCGCCACCCTCTGGAACGCTCACCGGAGTGACATACGATGCCTCCTTGTTTGGTCAATCAGACATCATCAGACATCTAAAGGTGTAACATATGTTACAGTACAGACTTATGCTTATGTTACATAATCAGACGTCTAAAGGTGTAACAGTGTATCATGGTGTAGCATATCCAACATATGTTAAGATTTATAGTAAAAACAGGTTACAGTAAGACTTATATTTTGTTGAAAAGGGGTCACATATGTTTCACCATCCAGCTCAGGTGCCGCTCACACCGCTCTCTCGCATCGGAGGAGGCCAGGGGTGGCTACGGCGAAACCACACCAGCGTCGCTAGGGCGTTTGTGGATATTTGCAGATTGGTTGGTTGATGCTTTCAATTTGACCTTCAAATTGGACTTTTACTTTTTGCGGTTCAACAAAAATGATCGGCATCAGTTTCTCCGCTGCTTGGCGCAGCAAGTCTTTGAGCAAGTCTGCATCGCCAGGCGCGGAGAAGCTGGGCCATTCAATTGAACGGCTCCTTCGGGCGCGTTGGAGATGTTTTCTTAGTTTGTTGATCCTCTACGGCTATGTGTGGCTGAATAAACCTGTAACAGCGGACAATTTGTTTTTTTTTTTTTGTTACGTTTGTTTTATATAACTATGACTGTAGAGAAAAGGCTTGAAATCTAACCATCATCATCCAATAAAGGCCCTGAGAATGGGATATGCCCAAACCCTAAGTGAATAGATGTTCTGGGCACCCTATCCTCCAAGTTGGGCACCCCGACATGGAAATCCTAGCGGGACGACATCCCATTTTGTCACTCTTTCACGTGTAGCACGTGTGTTTCAGGCACATATCGCATGTTCCATGCTGATGCTGCGCTTATGAGTTCATTTGTGTTGATGTTTCCGAGGCTACTCCATTTGGCCTGGAAACTCGATGGGGGTATATGCTGGTGGGCCGGAATGGATTGCGGCAGGTGCAATCGACGTGATCTTGGGTCTTTGCCATGGCGTTACGTCAAGCTTTGCTGCATCTACGTGCCTGGCGCATTCGAATTAAAAAAACTAGGTCATCCGTTCCAAAACGCGGAATCAACACAGATCACCGCAGGGAACTGGAAAATGGCTCCTTCTGACAAACTGACTTTCCCTTTATAGGATGATGTCGCACTTCCGTGTTGAACTGGAGCGTACTTCCAATGAAGAATTTGCACGGGACATAACCATGACACCCCGACATTCTGCGAATCCATTCGTGAATGTACCGCCTCCAGGGAGCAGAGTCGATCATGGCGGCCGCGCGGCCGCGCGACTTCAGGTGGTGGGAGGCTGTGGTTTACCTTCGCAAGCTGGGCTTTCTCCTGCTGGAACTTCTCCCTGGCTCCAGGAGAGCCCAGACCAAAACGACAGCCGTATAGCGTCTCCGGTGGACAGATGTCGTTTTTTTGGGGGGAACATGTTAAGGCTCGTCAGTTGACAGATCGATGTTGGGCAGTTGGACGGATGTTTTCCAACCAAGTCGGACCTACTTCGGAGTGCTTTCCAACCCTGGCGGTGAGGTCTCGCGTGTGCTGTCACCGGTCCGGGGTCAGTCGGACCTACTTCGATCGGTTCGATCGCTTCGACGGCAGGACGCGGGTCTTGGTCTTCAGCGTGTGCTGTCTCTTGGCGCTCTATGCTCAAGAGCCTACCGGTCCGGGGCCTAGGAGGTGGCACGCAGTTGACCCTCCCAACACACATGGTGGAACGGTGGAAGTGAGTTCACCCCCCTGTTGGTAAAGGAACATGGTTTTCTTGAAAAACTGGTGGCAGGGAGGGTAGCAGCTGGCATAGCAGGGGATCTCAAGCTGGAGCCCTGCCACCATGTAGCGAAAGACCTCCCAGGTAGGCCCTGCGCATCCACGGACCCACCTGTCATCTGGTGGCCTGTCCTGGGCCATCAAGGGCCATCAAGGTTGGATTCCATAAGACACCACTGGTATAACCAGACCCCCAGTGTGGTGAATCTGTTGGACATGAGGATATCAAGTAGATTCCAAAGCCAACTCTTTCAGATCTAGATCATCTTTGTATCAGATTTAGAGGTAAAGTACTTGGACAGATTGCCGATGTGATCTCTTTGCATCCGAAGTAACCAAAAGGTAATGAGTCTGGTAGACGAAGTCTTCAGTCTTTACTATAGTTTGGGTTTGCCCTATTACCTGTATAACTGTATAACAGTCAGTAAACAACTAATTCTCAATCAACTATCACTATTGTTGAACAAGACCTTTAGTAACCATCATCGTCCACTCTTACTGATAATAGGATAGACTTATATAGTGTGCTTCTTGTTTGAAAGGCATATAACTGAGCCAAAAACCCACAACCCGCACCCGAGGCCCTTCGATGATCGCCAAGGGGATTTGCTGAATCGCATGGAGAGGCCATCACTTGTCTTTGCTGATAAGAGGAGTGACGACACGGCTGTGGCTCAAAATGTGCCCTATAGGACCCGCAGGTGGCATGATCTATTTTCTCCTAAGGGTCCAGGATCATCCTGAAGATGTCCTTTGCCCCCAGAGACCATTCTCTGGAAGTACTTTCACCTCCAAGACCATCCTCAGGAGGTGCCTGGACCCTATGGGTTCATTTCTGATCCCAATGTGTATAGCTATTCCAGCCCCATAGATGGTCTGGGATTGAACAGGGGGCTTTTGCAGAGCGCATGACAGTTTGGAGTGAGAATGACCCCATTGTGACCACTTCAACGATATCAGTTGCATGTCGTGCCCAAATCAACGCCTTGTTGCCTCAACTTTGCGCACTTTCTGGACGAGGGTTAAAGTTTAAAGCCCAAAAAGCTGCCTTAAAAAACCGTCCAAGACACCTTTATAAACCTCCATGACGAGCCTGGAAACAGCACTTGTCAAACTGCCCAAATTGGGGATCGACGTTGTTTTTCACAAGACCCTGACAACTTGGCCAACGTCGACCCAAAGCCTGTGGCAACAGCCTGATCATAATTGAGCCCCTTGGAGTGAATCTGAGCCCCTCGGAGTGAATCTGAGCCCCTCGGAGTGAATCTGAGCCCCTCGGAGTGAATTCTGGGCCCCTCGGAGTGAGATCCTGATGCAAAAACACTTCAAAACCTCACAGCCATCCTGGCCATCCTTGGTGCGTGGCGTACGTAAGCGCCAAAGCCGTCCGCTTTGGGTCGCCACCACGAGGGATGACGGGCGGAGATGGCTGGGTGCTTTGGTTTTACCAGAAAGGCTTTCGGAGAACTTGAGAGTTACGAACGAAAGGCTCTGAATTGACGAAAACGGCATCTTGAACTTCCACGGCTCTGTACAGAAAGAGGTCGATGTAGAAACATGTTGGTGCTCTTCGGTTTTGTTTCACTTTTCTCGCCACAACTGGAACTGGACTCCAGGTATCAGCTGTGGTGCGTGCTGGCGCCGGGCCTGACGTTGCTGCTCATCTTGGAGACAGAAGCTGAGAGGAGCTGGGTACCAGATGGGGTAGGTGTGAAGCTGACGAAGCAGCGCATGAAAACGGCTCAGTTCGTTTCTTCAACCGGCCAACGAACAGACCTATTCATGGATCTATTCTATGATGATCTATCTTCCCAAAAAGATCAAAAAGAGCCAATTTGATGATTCTGCCAGTGTGTCTCTGAGAGGAACCTTTGTCTTTAGGAAGGAGTTGTCGAAGTTACATTGGTTTGTCACCAATGCTTTGCCATCCCTGGGTGACAAGAGTTTTCCATGACTGCTCGGAGTCTTGACATAAGTCACTTGATCATTAGTTGCCGTGCCACTGCGATTGTGATTTTGGTTTTGGCTCCCTGTCTTTCGGGTGGCTTCGGCCAGGATGTCCACTTCGATGTGGACGGCAATGGCAAGGATCCTCGAGTCGTTCGATGTTCTTCCCTGCTGGTGAATCCAGCTTCACTGAAAGCGCATCGGCGCATCGCTTGTAGGTGAGGAATAATTCTTGATAGGTGTTGTGATTTGCATGGGCAGGCCTTTTTTGAGCCATACATACTGTTATTTTCGATATCCTCCGACCCTGGCAGCCAGGTTTTGCAACACCGTCACAATCCATCATACCTGGAAGATGGACATGCCCCTTGAGGAATTGGCATTGTCATGTCTAGGTCTAGGGTGGAGTTAGAGGGTTCAACTGGGTTCCACTACCTTGCGACATCTTGCATCCAGAAAAATACGCAGAGCTGCTCAGGTGGTCTTCTGCTTTGTGAGCCACGTCCTTTTCATCTTAGTGCCTTGGATGCGTCCGTTTTTGCAGGAGAAGTCGCTCAAAAAAGCATTTATTAGTGTCTAAGACTCCAAGAAGCAGGATCAAGCAGGATCCGTTGCTTTTTGTGGAAGACTTCACCAACTTCGAGTTACAACTTATGCCAGATGATGCACATATGTGCTTTCTTCTCCAAGTCAGAGGGTGTTTTGGTTCTTTTCGGGCTTTTGCTGCATTGTTCGACCAAGACGACCTTCCAGCACTTGCCTCCAGCATCATTCTGAGATCCATTTTTGGTTCAGGCGACCAGGCACGACCATCATGACACCCTGTGTTTTTCCATCCAGGTGTAGGGGTCGTTGTAGGCCATCTTGACCTGAGTGACGTCGCTCCAAAACCTCAGGTTTGGATTTTCCACTTCTTCCAGAATCCTTTGCCCGGTTGCCTGGAAGATGGTGGTGAGCTGTGATTGTTTCGGGCTGAAAAACATCATCGGTGTCCTTCTGAGAATTCTTGGCGCGGGGAGTCAGACAAATCTGGAGGAGTTGGGTTTCTCCACAATCAGAAGGAGTGAAGTTCCATCATTTTCAGGTCCCCTATGTTCCAGTGTTAGGGTAATTGGGCCCTGAATTTCCCTGGTCCTTTTCTCGGAGCTGATGGCTGAGGCGCCGCATGGTCATGTGGCTGGCCACATGCACGCCCAGTGCTGATAAAGGCAGCTTTGTCATGCTGAGTGGGCTGATCGCCGACCTAGGATTTAAGTCAAGAATCCATAATATAGAGGAAGTTATAGAGGATATACAGTGTTTGCATTGCTCAATGTATTTGAGAGGTCGCTACGTTACAAGTACGGTGATCCAGTGTGTTGCACAGTTTTCTAGCCAATGCACTTATGGATGGATGCTAGGACGAAGCTCGACTTCAGAGCCTGGCTGTCGCAAAAGTCATACACAGCTTCGCATTTTAGGGGACCATGTTTCATGTCTAGAGTCTATGTCAGCGACCAGTAGAGCACATGATCTCATTCAAAAGGTGGCTCAGTGGTTCACATGTTCTTTGGGACTGGAGGCCAGGAGCAGTTGTTCGACTGGGCCCAGTCGATTCAAGACGGCACCGGGCAGGGTGGTACCTACGGAACTTGATTTGGCTGGCACGAAGCTGGCGCGACAGCAGCATGGAGACCTGATGCACTGGGATTTGTTTTAAGGCTTTGACCCAACGAAGGACCTCCTTAAATGCACTCCGCTGAAGACTCACATGGACCTTGAAAACTGCAGGTTGAGTTTTTGGGCTACAAAGCGTCATCCAAAAAAGTGTGTCAAAAGGATCAAACAGAATCCAAAGCAAACACATGCTGAGAGTGCAACAATTAAAAGGCGGCTTCACTAGCATCATTACTTGTGAAGTCGGTGTTTGTAGTTGTATTTTTGAGCTATGGTGGAGAGACGGGTGTGGTACCGGAAAACCATTTGCATTGGGTTAGCAGTAGGTGCACAACTCCCCTCATGTCTCTTAGGCGTGAACCATGTTTGGGGGGTTGCGCCATCTGCTCTCAACCCACTATGCTCTTCTAGTCACGAAAGGTAGCTTGAGCTACCTGAGTTCTCCTTGCTTTAGCAAAAATGTATTACAATCAGGAGTTGGGATTGTGCATTGAATTTGGTCCTGTAAGAGTTGATTCTGTTCGTCGGGGGGGGGCCCCCCCCCCCCCTGGATCAAATCCCCCCTGCGCCGGTTCACGCCGTCGTGGACTTCTACCAGGGTTACTTGTGATTGCCTGCTACCTTTCGTTCACCCCCTCCTCTCTCAAGTCCTTGTGTTTGCGAGATCCGGCTGTGGGTGCCATGGGATTGAAGTCGTGGAAGCTTGCTATGTAATGTATTGAGGGTTGATACAAGCAGTAAGAGGTTCAACATAACATCCCGGACTCTGACCCTTGTAATGCCGGTGTTTTTGGTAAATGCACCAACATCATGAACATGTCGACCACATCCAAAGAAATGCTATGTTCCCGGCAAAGGGAAACCTTGGTTTTATACAGGATATGTTGAAACGACTAACATAGGCAAAACAACAAGGTTAAAGTCAATGTGTTTTTCCCAGTGACAGTTTCAAGGCCAAACTATATAAAGGGCTTTATAATGCTTATTGTATAGTTGGTGTATGTCCCTTTCCAGCTCATTCTTATATTCTTCAATCCGTCTTTTGTTCAACCCCATCCGGCTTTCTGCTGGCTCCGGGCTCTCTCAGGTGAGGCCTCGAAGCCCTACCTGGCCTTCCACTCCTTACACGGCTTCATCTCGGTGGGAAGCGTGGGACGGGACGGCCTTCCCCACCTGGCAGGTGAGGGTTGTGAGATTTTATCGGAAACTGTCCTCTTCTCCTCTTCATTTCATGTTTATATGTTATCCCAATCGAGGGTTTTTGATTCATTAAGAGTTGGTTCTTGTGGTCAACGGCATCAGGAGATACCGTTTTGTTGTGTCTACCTGGTGTCGGTGGAGCTCGCGCTGGTTGGGTGAACGACTGGTCTGGGTCATCTATGGATGGCAGGGCCCCAGTTTAGGAAGGTCACTGAACTCATCAGTGACGGTTAGTGGAATGAGTTCACCATTTGTTTGGCATTCGGATTGAACATGCTCATCCTTTCGAGCATGAGGGAGTCTAAGTCTAAGTCTTCATGGGTGCCCAGAGTCTTCGAAAAACTCTTTGGAGACTGAAGCAGTTTGGAACAGTGAGATGAAGCAGTTGAGCGTATAGTTGATCGCTTCTTTTTGGAACCATTTGAGGAACAGCTGAGGCCCCAAAAAGGCTCAAGATGTGTTATGTTTTTTTTATCAGTTGCAATTTGCAGTCGATTACATCACAAAACCTGACAAAAGTCCAGGCCCCGATGTTTTTGCGAAGCTCGTAGATGTGAGGTGAGCGGCATGGGCGGGGACAAGGCATGCTTTGTCGGTTTCGATGGGTTTCGTGGCTGGCAGCTGTGCGGCAGCTGTGGTGGGATGTTATTTTCACAGTCACAATCCAGTTGGGGTCATCCAAGGTGTGGATCATGAGGAATCCAGACTCCGCAGCTTGGGAGAGGAGGACCTTCCTTTCGTGGAATCCGCGGTTTTGATTCTTCACCGGACACAAACGGGATTTTCGGTGAGTGCATTGCTGAAATTGAAAAAAGGTCATGGAATCCAACCCAAACCCACTGGGAACATGCAAGAATTCTCCACTCCTTCATTCATGTGTCCGCTCCCAGTCTTTGAGATCTGAGAGGCCCATAGAATCGAATCCTTGCTGAATCAGTGAGAGAAGGCCCTCACTGATCTGAGAAGGCCCTCACTATCCTCAGAGAGCGCTTCCCGCGCCCGCCGCAGGCATGGGTGCCGCACTTGCCCCAGGGTGTGGGGGCACAGGGGTGTGGTCAATGCTGAGCAGGAACTGTATGACGTGTTTGGTGTGGTGGCTGTATATAAATAGATAGATAGATAGATAATAGATAGGTAGATAGATAGATAGGAATGTAGACGAGCCCCACTAAGAATGTATTGGATACCGTGCCACGTGCCACTACCTATTTGGGGACCACTACTATAGTTTGCAGTTGTTTTCAATTGAATTGCAGACCCAGAACTCATCAAGGACGACAGGGGCTAGAACAATTTTGCCACGCAAAATTATGATTGCAAGCTTTGATGTGGGCAGAATAGGTTTTAGCATATTTTAGGACAACCACATTGATAATCACGCTTGAGTATGCATTCAAGGCGTACCAATGAGGACTTGTCTGGGAGTTCTTTTTTGCTTGTGCCGACACTTACCTATACTCCCTAGTCGTGCAGTGGCATGTTCGAAACAATCAGCAGAGCATAGCAGAAATGCTATACTAGCTACACATGCTATAATGCTATACTAGCTTGCTGTGTGTTCTTGTTGATTTGGGCCGTGTTGTCCATGCCACCCTCTCAGTTTCCCTTCGTCATCTGAACTTTTCGTACCTGGTACCAGGTCACGAGCTGCCAGACGTCTTGTTGAACAATGACGAGTATCGCCTCAGGTGCCACTCGTCACGGGTCGTCGAAGAGGAACCCAACCCCTTTCCCAAACCGGAGGTTGACATCCCGGACATAAAAAGGGATCGCTTCATTTGACCCCGGGGTTGATTCCAGCAGGGTGTTCGGTTTTTATATATTCACCCACAGCCAAGTGGTTTGGTTTGTGGGTGTGTAAAAAAGAACTCATATATGTTCTAGAATTTGCCTTCAGATTGTTTGCCTCCATGATTTTTTGGTCGCTCCTTGGTGGAATTCAAAATCGATCTGGTAGGATTTTTGCACGACCGCAGAAGTTCAGCCTGATTGAGGGTTTTGGGTTTAGGATACAAGAGAAGGTGGCAATTGCCTCAAACCTTCAAACCTTCAGGATGTGTAAAGAATATATCAGGAAGAGTATGAGGATCATACATTAGAACAATCAATGCTGGGGGGGAGCTCCCAGAAACCCTAGAGGATCATCAAATATCGGAGGAAGGTCCGAACTTCGTTTCATCTATAGTTTGACCAGATGCCGGCGGGCAATGAAGATGGAGGGCGGGCTTCCAGTGGTCTCCTTCGATGAGGAAGAGTTTAGCCGCAGTGCGTCCTCCACCAGTTCCTCCACCAGCACCAGCAGTGACTCGGAGTCTTCTGCGTCAAGAAATGGCCGGGAGAAGAGGCGAGAAATGTCCATCCCAGTGCTGAGCTTGGGGTTCAACCGTGTGGCGAGACGCAGGGCGTCCTTGTCCGGGGAAGCCTTGCCTATCTTGGTCAGGAGAACCGTGGAACAGCCGAAGCCAGAGGTACCCAGTGAGGCCAGAAAGCGACAATCTCAAGTTGGTGGGTGGGGTCCTGTGCCTGGCTTGGCCTCTTTCATGCTAACCCCCCAAGATCGAGAAGAGCATGAGGAGGAGCCACCCAAGATGCCAAAGCTGCCCAAGGGTTTGGGCATCAAACTCCGCAACAGAATCTGGAAGGCACCGGTACCAACCCTGAAGCGCTTCCACCTCCGAGTTGCAGCCAAGCTTGGTTTGGACGCAGATGCTGGCGATTGGGACCCAGGTCAAACTTATTTGATGTCAGTGGAGAAGCTTGAAGAGCTTGCTGAGCAGAAGCTGCAGCGACAGCGCTACAAAGCAGCTGTGATGGTCCAAGCTCGTTGGCGTAGCCTGCGCATTCGCAGGGTCTACCGCCAGGTCATCATCAAACGCTTGGAATCTCGGCAAAGGCTTCGCGAGTGGTTCCGCAAGTTGCTTCGCAGGAGACGGGTGGCGGACAAGATCCAGCATTTGCGTAGCTGCATTGTGAGCACCGTCAAGATCCAGGCCCATGTGCGCCGTTGGCTTGTTCAGAAACATTGGGGCGCCGACTTAGCACTACACCGGGTACAATACCGGATGCCTGGTTTTGCTTGGTTTTCGATTGTTATTTTCCCCTGTTCCTAGGGTGAACCCGGTCACCTGGTGAATGGTTTTTATTACATGTTGTTCTTCCCTTCCCGGTCACCTGGGACCAACAGAGGTTGAAAGACCTATAGACTATCCCAGTTTGGTACCCCAGTAGGGTCCTATTGACGGTCACTGTTCCACCTCTCTTGGGACAGCACATCCAAGGATGACCATGCTTCAAGAGCAGCTTTATCCCTTTGAGGAACGGGAGCGCGATCGCGAAGAAGCGGAACGGTCCTTCATGAGCCGAGAGGAGGTGCTGTCGCAGCAAGCCGAAGCGGCCCGAAAGCAGCATGAAGCTGATATTCAGCGCTCAGTACCCTGGGCCATTGCTTCAGTAAGGTGTTTTTTGTGATTTTTCTGAAAATTGTTTGTCAAAAATATTCCCGGGGCCATTGCTTCGGTGTTTTTGGTGATTTTCCCCCTAACTGGTGCTGGGGATATACATTTGTCATTGTTTGTCATGTTGTTTTGCCTCTAAATCCAAGGTACAGGTTCTGCAGCCCGCTGTGCGGCGCTGGCTCTCGCACCTGAAGTATTGGCGGGCCTTGCAGGAGCGTGAGAAGGAGCTCAAGGAGGAACAGGCCAAGCGACGACGGTACCGAATACATCGAGATGAGGATGAGGAACAGGTCAAGAAGCCTGGTTTTGCTGATCAGGTAACTTTTCTACTTACCTATGGTTGAATCCCCTTCTGGTATCTTCGGGCTGGTGAAAAGCTTAATGTTTCAAGTTAAGGTTCCTGGAGAGCAAATCCTAGGAAGGCTGGGAGTGGCGATGAACCTCACCGGATGGGTGGAAGAACTTCGGGGGTGAAAGAGGACGAGAAAGGGTGGCATGCCTCTCCGCTCAGCAAAGCTCTCTTGGCCCTAGAAGCAATGACTACCACAGTGGAGAGTGAGAAGGGTCGAAGTTCTTCACATTCGCGTGGCTTTCGCGCCCGTGCCTATGGAAAGACCAGCATTGTGCTTCCTCCAGCCCCGCCAGGCTTCCGCTCAGACATTGCGGGCGCACGTGGAGGACCTCGTCGCCGCCACACTCCTCGGCTGGTCTCCGTCCCGTCTCCACTTCGCCATGACAGATCGACCTCACGAAGCAGAAGTTTGCCTGCCTGAGAATTCCCATGGAAAGGCCGTTTCTTTAACTCTTTTTCTCTATTGGTGTCTCACCCGCATCTCCAGCAGAAGAGCTGCAGGAGTGAACCACCCCAGTGACTAGCGCCGTGCCGTGCGCCGAGCTCGACCCAACGGCGTCCGCAGCATCCACCTCACCCGCGTCTCCGCCTTTGCCGCTGCACCGAGCGTCTCGCGTCTCGAGAGGCTCTCCTCTGTTCCGAGCTTCCTGCATCAGGCGACGATGGGACAAGGGAGATGAAAGAGACTCAACGGACACCTTTTGTCTCCCTCTTTCAAAGAAGACCTTCGAGATGTATGCCCACCTCTCTCTGAGATCGCACAGCTTTTATCTCCCTTTGGTTTATCAAGCAGTTGAGAATCGATCTTTGTAAACCAGAGGTTCGGTGAAATTCGCTGTCCTAGGATCCCAAAGACTTTCAGTAGCCCTGCTCTTGCGAGCAGCTGGGTTCACAATGGTTCAGTGACGAACATAATAAGAAACACTAAGAAGCGAATAGATGGTTGAATAAGGACCCAGTGGCAGAGCTGCTTGAAACTTGTGTTGGCAATAGATTGTTAGTTGATTGTTGTATATTGTTTGAACATGTTGGAAGTTGGAACAATAGGTTCATGCTTGGATTCCTTCAATTCGATTGCTTTGAGACCGCATGACTGCATGAATGAGAGGATCTAAGAGGTCAAGCTAGCAGATCAAAGATCACCCACGAATCACATGTTCACTAAGAAGTTGTTCTTTCAGGTGGTGGTGCCTTCCTTATCAGCCAGGCTCGGGTGCACAAAGTGACACCTGGAGCCGTGTCATTCAATTTGGTTTGAGGGTGAACATGGAGAAACCAAATTTGCTTTTGTCTCAAAAACCATGGGCTGCAGTCAGCTAGTCTTCCCCAGGTGCGAATTTCCTTGCAGCTTCAAACCTTCGGATTGGAGCAAGTGTCAAATGAGTCAATTGGACCCATCCTATATTCCAGTAGATCATGGTTGGCAAAGGCCCTTCTCAACATTTGACACACGCCCCGAATCCCTACCAATCACTGACTTTTTGGTTCTCGCAAGGGACATTGGATGTCATTGGATGGCATTGGTCGGTGCAGAACATTTGGTGAGTGATCACCGACTCTGGTGCCCAGAGGATACTTAAGAGATTGACTTCGTTCAATGCCCACAGATTTGCTGCAGAATTGCTTTTGGACCCAGGAAGATTTGATTCACCCATGGATTCCCCCTTCATCAAAATGGCTTCAGATTTGTAGCTTATGGGGGGATTGGAGCTTGATTAAAGCTTTCAGACCTCCACAGAAAAACATAACAACACCCCCAACCTTTCTTCAAGACACACCCATTTGGATGTGCATTGAAAAAAGAGGGAGAACCAACTGCCCCCCAAATCGGCCCAACTGGCGACCGCGACCTGTGGACGACAGAGTTCTCTCCGAAGCTGTCAGCCATCGGGGGATTAATTCGTTGCTGGGGGTCGGTACGGTTGGTCCCATGATCTGTAACAGTCGAAAAAATAAAGCACCTATTGGTCAGATGGAGTAACGGCCTCCCAGGGTCCATCATCATCCACTGGAACCGACCGGGTGCCACGGGATGCACCAGTCGATGCCCAGACCCGTCTCTCGACGTGAGGCTCTCGGTCCAGCGAGATGTGATGTCCACGGCACGCGATGCCCAGTGGGTTGGCGGGTTCAACGGGTGGGTGAAACCGGTTCTGGCCGGAGCTTTACAAATACACGTGGCAGCCAACACCCAGGCCCCCCAAAATGGACAGCTCACCGTTAGGATTGGAGAGGATTGGAGAGGTCAAAGGATAAAGGAGCTTGACCGTAACAGATGCACTATACTATACCTCGATCACTATACCTTCTTAGCTGCTTGTTTCATGTATGGGTGTTCTCACTTGGCATCCACCAGTGGGCCGAACTAGCCGAGCCCGTGCCGCACCCCGTATTGAAGGATGACTTCGGCTTGACACGCAGAGAACAGACCTTCTCAGAAGCTACACCTGGACCTGGACCCTCCTGGCACCTACATCAAGCTATACACAAAAGCCTCCATAGGAGGGCTTCGAGTGGAGCGTGTCCCAAAAAACGCCGGGTTCTTGTGATCGTACATGACCCCGTGACCTCGACCCTAGACGCAAGCTGAGTCACCTCCAGTTATGCGGCAAAGTCTCCCAAGCGCTGAGGTCACTTCGGTGTATTGGTTTCCACACGTTCGACTGCTTCGTTTCATTGGTCCTTTCTTCCTGGCTTTTCTTCAAGGTGATGTTAATTCCCCACCTGCCAGGTGAGGGTTGTTAGATTTTATGGTGGGGATCACTCGAAGTAAAGTAATTGTCTTTTTTCATGTTCCCTATATGGATCCCATCTCTTCCTTTGTCGTTTTCACTCGGTTCGCCTCGCCAGCGCCCAACCGGCCACCGGGCAGCCGCTGTCCGCGCGACGATGGCCCGAGGTGTCCTACCTCATCGACGGGATCTCCGGCACCTTCAGCTCCAGCTGCCTGGACTTCGCCCCTCGACGCGATCTCACTTAACGTCGGGCGGTGGCGGATGAGGATGAGGATGATAATGATGAACAGCTTACATTCCAGCACAAACGAAGGTTTCGGGGTGACTTCTTGAATGGACCTGCCTACAGGAAAACGGGGGTCGGTCCACCCCCAAATTGGAGGAGAACGAGCCATCGAACCGTCTGCGAAGCAGCTGCAATTTGAAGAACCGAAGTTCGGGCGAAGTTGGCTTGGTTTCGGAAATGTGGTTTCGGGTACCTCAGGGTGTCAAGTGTGTTTCTACTCAATGCCTCATGGATGTGTCATGTGCATGAATGTGCCGCATAGATGTAAAGCGGTGCAAGTTACATGAATAACAAGCAACAGACGAAATGCATGACATTTGGCTCAAACGCTGAGCACTCCTTCGGCCAAACGTGTTTTCTTTGCACTCCTTCGGCTCGGTACACTGAGCCGCTCATCGACAATGCAGCCCGCCAAGCGTGCGAAAGGTGAGGTAGTTTTAACACCCACCGAGCTCAATCGTCGAAAGTTACGAGACTGCTTGGAGCACGGGCGTTTGCTTCATCCCACCGAGGACCGGGCCTTGTGATTGAGATAGATGTGGAACGTTCCTTCGATGTTTCGATGCTTCAAGGATGGATGATTCAACTTGTCCCACACCCCCTGTGACCCCAAAAGAGCCGGAGGAAGAAGTTTAACCAAACATACCAACTTTGAGAAGGCAGGAACTTCACACCAACTTTGAGAGATGCATCCTGTCAGAATTGATGGATCCTAAAAGTGGAACTCTCCAGAGATCCAGGGCTTTTGCTCCCTTCAACTTCTGCACGAGGAAGGGACCTTCAACTTCTGTGACATGTCTCAAGCCCTGGCCATGTGCTGTGATTTGGCCCCTGCGAAGCCCACCAGGACAGATTTGTCAGTTTTGATCTTATGTTTTGTTGACGGTAGATTATGGTAGATTCACTTGTGTTGGTTTCCGAAGCGATCGTTTGATTAGGGGCTAATCCCTAGGGATCACATACCCTCTGAGAAGGTGATTTCGGAGACATTGTTATGTAGGTTTGAAGGGTCCAAGTACCTTCTCGGAAGGTACTTGGATCCCTAGGGAATGATGTGTGCCGTGATTTTGTAGATGGAACATGTTTTTCCTTGGAGTGGTTTAGGACCCCAAATCGCGAACCTTTTGGCAGGAAGGAGCTCGCAGAGAAGCTGGCCAAAGAGCTTGGGGGAACCTCTCGTCGTCACATTGTCGTGATCTTATGATCCTCGGTTCTGCGTCTTTTGTTTTTTCCGCGCTCGCGTCTTGTTGCTGGGTGGGTGGAGAGCCTAACTCAGTCAATCTTTGTTGAAGGTTCATCATTGGAGCAGCTACAGCAGTGATGTATGAAAGTCAGCCTGGCATTCTTGTACTGAAGTCAAGACTCGCAATTGATTATATATTGAGTTTGTCGCTTCACTGTTTGCTGTCATGTGCGTATTGCAAGCCATGCAAGCATGTTTGGAGCGGGCTTAGTGTCAAGAACCTTGATGTGCTATTTGTCAAAAAGTATCAACAACATTTGGCAGGACTGTCCATTTGACATTGTTGTGATTGTTCTTAGCTTCCAGCAGTCTATATATAGTGATACATGTTCGGTCTATTCAGTTCAATAATTCATCTTGAAGAGTAATCTGTAATTCAGTTTTTTGTACTTCTCAGAAAGTGTTACAGCTTTTTGTAAAAAGAAGCGCAGGCGCACACTATGCCACTTAGACCCGCACATGAATTTCAATTGTTTAAGTTTATCACCATCAAGGACTCTCACAGTATATGTTAATGACAGTGTTAATGACTCAATGACTATATTATGTAATACTATATATACAGAAACAAAAACACATTATTATATAATATATAACTATTCATATCATGAAATTTTGGTCAGGGATGTTTGTTTGCACCAGTGCCAGCAAATACCAGCGGCGTTGTTGTTTTTGTGAGCCTGCCCTTGGTCACTGTATTTCACTGACGAGTCTCATCCCACCAATTGTGCGGATGAACATGCCATGATGCACCTGCACGCCATCGCATCTTGCGATCCAAAAGCGGCCCAGGTGATGGCATGGGTGTCGATCTGCTCGAGCAGCACTTGGCACCAGACTGCTTCCTTCGTAGAGGGCAGAGCTCCTACACGCTGCGTGCGGTCTTTCCGGCGACCACGCCCGCGGCCTTAACTACGCTGGCGACGGGCGTGTGGCCGGGGCAGCATGGACTGCCCGGATGGGAACTCCGAGATCAGAAGGCCGGATGAGTGGAACCATGTCCAACAGGTGGTTCTTGGAGTCCCCAACGCTCCATGTACACTGGTTTTGGAGGTTCGTTGGCACAGCGCAGACAACAAGATGACTTGGACAGATGGGGCGGGGTGTTATTTATAAACCACCCTACTTGGACATTTGTGCCATTTACTCTGAAAATACTACCAGGACCCTCCAAGAGGTGCCCCATGGACAACCCACACTACCTATAGGCTTCCAGACAGGGCACCCCTTGGAGGGTCCTGGTTTTGCCAAATAGGTGATTGTCCCAGGGGCCTGGACGGCCAAGTTTACCTACTTTTGGATGGTCAGAGTGATGTCAGACATGGAGTGCCACCGTGCCACACACCGCCCTGTGCGTCGCACACCGCCGGAACCCATCCGTCCGACAGGACAGGAAGTCCCGTAACGAGTCAGTGATTATATAGGTTCAGTTCGACCAGACATTCGCTGGGATCTCAGGATTGAAGACCCAGGATTGTCTTGTTTCTTCATCTTTGTCAAGTCTCAAGTGGTCTTTAACGGTCCACCTCGGCCCGGGTCGGGGTGCCATGACCCAGGTCACATGCAGTGAAGCAATGCAGAGGTCCCCCACTAGAGAAGACCGACCCCACCCTGGGCCCCTACAGAAAGCGGAAGAGATGTGGGCATGCGAGGTATTTTGTTGTATGTTGTTCTAGAATTTCTACTACCCCCAAGTCTACCCCCAATATACGTGTCGAGTGTTTGAGCTAGGATCCAACCTTCATTCTTCAGAACTTCTGACCAGTCGCACCAGTTATTCTTTAGATGTTCAATGATATTCACCCAGACACCACCCAGCACTGAGGGTTTGAGCGAAGGTGGAAACCATGGGGAGGCAGGGGTGGGGGCCCGAACATCACCAAAAGAGGTTCGAGACACGTGGCTTGTTGAGTTTCTGCTTTTTTCTAGGCCTCCTTCTATTTTAGAGACGACCTTTGAGGGTTCATGTGTTGCTTGGACTTCAAGTCACAAGTCGCCACCCACCCAGCCCATGCACCACTCGCTCGTCTTCGGCGCACACTGTGAGGCCTGCGAGTTTCCAAAAGAAAACCTGCACAATCCCATCCAACTCACCGTGTTTGGGCTTGAGGATTAAGTTCTTCATACTCCCCTGCAGAGGCCCACATGGAACCCAAAAACCACCACTGGGTTGTAGAGGAACATGGTCGAAACCACCGGTGAATTCTCAGGTTCCATGTGGTCCGTTGCGGGGGGGTAATCTTTTGATGTGTCGTGAGTCGTGTTCATGTTAAATTTTAGTACATGATGTGGTGTGGCTCGATTTTGAGGGCGCCGAATGCAACGGAAAGAATGCATCCCTAGGGATCCAAGTACCTTCTCAGAAGGTGATTAGAGACACTGTTATGTAGGTTTGCAGGGTCCAGTCGTACCTTCTGAGAGGGTACGACTGGATCCCTAGGGCATGTTCAAATGAGCCAAATGGATATGGTACAACTGAATGTGATGTTTCCAGGTCTTGGACTCCCAAGTGCGCGACAAGCGTACTGGGAAGCCTGTTTGGGATATGGGATTTACTACGAAAGAGGTCTACATTGAAGAGCCCTGGGTGGCCAAGGGCGAGTCCTCGAGGAAGATGAAGTTTGTGAATGCCTACAACACCACTGAGTTCACAGATTGGTACCAGGAGAAGTACAACAAAGAGGTTATGACCATTGAGGAGACTTCATATGAAACTCTTGGCAAGCCCGAAGGGTCAGAACAGGCCATTCAATATTTTAACAACGGAATCGACTGCATCCTGCAGAGCGTTGAAGAGGCTGAAAAGAATGATTGGAAGTCCTACGTTTACATGTACACAGCCCATCCAGACAAGCATATGCATGAACTGGGCATTGCCCATCCCGAAGTCACCGCCGTGCTGCGAGGTTTCAGCGATGGCCTGGAGCGTTTGTGGCAACGATTGAAGATGCTGGATGCAACGCTGCTGGTCACGGCAGATCACGGCCATGTCACCGTCGAGCCAGAGGAGATGGTCATTTTGCCACAAGGGCTCTTGGACTGCCTAGAATATGCCAATATCGGAGTGCATGGAAAAGGGCGCCACGCCTATTTTCATTGTCGAAGTGGACGGCAGGAGGAGTTTCAGCAGGCTTGACTGAAACGGTTTTGGAGCCTGCACTTGTTGGCTTTATGTGTATGTGTGGGAAGTGTCATAGCTGTCTAGGTCTAGGTGCAGCAAATCCCTTCTCCTTCCGTCAATGATTTCTATACCCTTGCCGCACGAATGAGGGTCCACGTTTCGATTAATTTAGCTTTCGACCTCATGTCAGAGTCAGTGGATCCTCGTTCCTCACACAAAAATATACTTGCCATCGATGGGGTCCCAGACGCTTCATATATGGCATGTTGATATAAACATTGGGGATCATTGGGGTATTTGTTCGGTCAATCTAGGCATCACTTCCACGAGCTGGTGTTTCAAAACCATTATTTTTGGATATCTTTGGTTGGTTCTGGCAGAACTGGAGGCTTGGGAATTGGACACATCTCTGAGCAGCTTCATCCTCCTTCCCATCGACACCGCTGTGGAAGAGGGCCTTTTTGGTCCCGACCCGCCGGTGCCCTCTGCGCGGCCACGCCTGGGGGACTTCGTCGGGCTGAGCACCAGCAACAAGACCTTGGTGACGCCTGAGGTGCAGAGTGACCTTTTGGGCGCCCAAGAGTACTTCCGGTGTATCAACATACTATATACAAACACCAGGTTCTTCAAAGGGACCTTTTGATAACCTGGCATAGATACAAAGGGTCACTTTATATATACATATATATGCTGGGTTTGGGGGGTGAAACTTGGGAGACGCATCTCACTAGTTTTTGCTAGAGAGAGAGAGGCGCGCCTTCTGTTGAGTGATGCAAAGTTGTGCGGTGTTGTTGCGGTAGTTTTATGTTTTGTTGGCTTTAATTTTTGCAAATTGCAGGACAAAGCAGGCATTTTGTCATACGTACCTAAAGCACATATTTTTTTGTTGAGATCATTTGTTGAGCCCTGTTTAGGAATCTTTGTGAGGAACAGGTTGTAGTCAACAATTTGGTTTGAGCAACATGTAACATGTGTAATTATTGAAAAGACACATGTTTGGGAGTCTTGTCTTGTCCATGGACCTTCACCCGGCCCGGGCCAGCAATCACCTCACCTGGCTGGTTTTCAAGAATCTTCTAATCTTAAGTATGTCATCAGTTGTTACCTAGATGACCAATTGAGCCCATTGTGCTTGCCACATGTCTATGTGACGTCCATGATTTCCTCTAGCCAGCCTTGGGCTCGAGGAGTTGTTGAAATATGGAGCATCTGAGAGCTTACCGGGGCGAAAGCAAGGAGCGCATGGCTCCCTGACCCCCGAAGAGATGAGGATTCCTTTGTGCTTCTGGGCGCCCGAACGGGCCTGAGAAATCAGGAGCGAAATGGATTTGGTGTCACACGTGTGGACCATGTGTTTTAGGGCCCAACACATGGACTAACAACCATGGTGTTGGTCCGGTTTCTGTGAACTAGATGTACAGTATTAGCAGCATGTCACAACGGGCGCATGCAGACCTGCCCGCAAGAGGTGGAAAAGGTACTGTCTTTGCTTCCCGAAGAGATCCGCATGCTTCCGGAAGTGGCATAACATGGCATAACCTAGAAAAAAGGTTAAGCCTTATATGCGTGGCTTGGGAGTCAGGATTCAGTATTCCTCCGATCCCTCCAAAGTCCCGCAAGAAAGATCATAGTTCCTTTCACTAAGGGGGTTTCTACTTCGATGGGAGAAGGATGCTGAAGTAGATCGGTCGATGCATCTTAATAAAGAAAGCCGCCAGAATGGTTGCACAATGTTGTACCTCTCCAGGCCTCGGCCGGTTGATGAACCGGGCACCATGCGACTTCAGGTGATTCGGGCGGCTTTCCTGCTGCAGCAAGAGCTGCTCCATGCTAAGCAAGCCAGGCGTGTCATCCCGCTGTGCACACCACTTGGAATTCGCCGGGTGGACCGGTGGTCACCACAGCAGTGAATTCCACCCACAGAAGTTCATCTCCAACATCAAGAAACCAGCAACATGCATGTGGGTGGTGATGCTCAACTGCCGAAGATCACCAGGATTTTGCCGTAGTCACCCACATGCACAGATCACTCAACAAACCCAGGGCCCTGCGATGGCAAGTCAGGAGTGACGTCGTGGGCGATGTCCAGGACTGGTGTCAGGAAGACAGCCCTCATGACTCCGACATCTTCGGACAGCCCTCCTGTCACCAGACCACCTTCATGCTTCGACTCTCTCCGTATACACTGCATGATGGGGGGGGAGTGCTGCGCAACCCATTCAGAGCCACTGGAGCCTTCCTACAGGTTCAGGTCTCGGCACGTGGCCCAAAACCGTCGTGCCTTCCACCCCTCGCCGCGGGACGTCCCGCGGCCGAACTCGCCTCCGCAGGCTGGTGGCCACCGACGTGGCCAGGTGCCACCGGGGGGAGGAGGATCGAGATCTCGGGGGAGACGGCTCACGCGTCCATCGGCTTTTCCGCAGAAGGATTCCTGGAGCTTTTGGAACAGACTGGCCAGGAATCCTGGAATAATGGAATCCTTCTGGTAGGGATTCCTCGTCCACCAACAGGTTTGAAGGACCCAAAAGACTTTCCGTGACGATGACTATCCCATATATGGGATAGTATGGGATAGTCAGGTACCCCAGGTGACGGATCCTACTTACAGTCGCTTAACCTCTCTTGGCATTGCTTTTTCATGTCCTGCCAGTTGGGGCGCTGGTTGCTTCTTGTAGGTCTAGCAGCAATGTGGTTGCTTCTTGTTCCTTTCTTTCCAGAGGTCAACTTCCATTGGTACTTGTCATGGATTGCTCCAAGAGAACAACCGTTGCTTTCAGTTTCTGCTTGTTTTCCTGATAGATTCCATATAACTATTATATAAGAACTATATGTACCCAGACGTGCAGGGATCGGTCGGTCCCTCATATATAGAGGGGTTTGGGGTCTCAAATCCAGGTTTTGAGGGACCAAGGGCTGTGAACGGAGCCGTTGTGTGTATCACTTCAGTCGCCGCTTGATTCGTATCAAGCCTCCCAACCAAGCCGCCGAAATCCCTCACAGACCACATAGACCTGGCGCCCACAGACCCACAGACCGGCCCCAAAGGTGGTCGTTCGGATCGTCTTGGACTCCCAAGCGGGCTACCCAACTGGGATCGTCCGCCTAGTTCGGGTCCTTCAATCTTGTCTTTTGGGGGCAGCGCAACGCCTTCTGCTGCGGATGTCAGTTCCTCACGTCCAGCGCGAGAGGCCCATCTTGGACCGTGCAAGTGAAGCCAAAGACCCGGTGCTGCTGCGCCTTGGAACCACCGAAAAAAGTCATCTTCCGTGGTCGCCGAGAGTCGTCTTGCCAGGAGGCAAGAGACATGGATTTCCCCCCAGATGAACAGTCGTTTTTTTTCCACTTCTTCAGCTGTTGGTCTAGCCAGTAGCCTGATGAACAGACGATTAAAAAAGAAAATCAAAAAAATAACGCCCCATGTTTACAGACGCTTTGAATTTTCAGCATGTTAGTTTTTGAACTTCATGTGAGAGATGCTCCTAGTCCTAGATCTGTAGATCCGTCATCGGTAAGGGGCTGAGACTTTGCACACCCAGGCGTGATGAAGATGAAGTGAGCCGGGGCCCCTTAGGGCCCCTTGGGGTTGGTGGGAGGATTTGGAGGACGTGGAAAGCCTCCTTGACCTTGGATGTGGTCGGGCTGAGGGAGATGAGGCAGGCAGAAACAAGGAGGGTACACTCCGATTGATTTGCAAAGACGGGCCCCCACGAAATGCTTAGTGGGTTGGGATGTGGCTGCTGGCTCATCAAGCATGATCAAACCAAAGACTTGATATATATATATATACATATTATACATGTATACATATGTTGGCACATCATGCAACATTCAGGAACATGTTCCATAATGAGCATTTCTTCAAGTTTTTTCCGACTTTCCAACACCTTGGCCCGACATGATGGATTGGATGAATCACATTCAAACACGTGTCACAGCAGATGAAGGCAACGCGCGGGGGCGGGTCAAAGGCCAAAGAATCAAGCAGGTTGGGTTGAACCGCACACTGCGGCTGACTGGGCACATGGAGTCGATTGATATGTGAGACAAGGCGTTTTTGCAGCCTTGAGAGCGATGCTATCAGTATGTATCTTTAAGGAATCAACAATTATATCAACGAATCAATGCCTATGCCCAAGACCAAGTTGAAAGTCGTTGACCTGGGAATTGTTTTTCGGTATGGACCATTGATAGTTAAATCATAATGGTGGTTGGAATCCTGGGGTATGGGTGGGGGGTTCCGGCAATGATGTTGTTGTTTTTCAAGACTTGAGTGCACCCCTCCAACAGAAAGCCCACCTGACAGCTAGGCGAATCCAGCGACGATGACGAGCTGTATACTGGCGTCCAGGCAAATGGACAAAGCCATCAAAGTGCATGGTTTTCTGACGGTCTTTGTTATAATTCATTTGATTCAGACTTAGATGGTGAAGATAGGCAAGCTGGGCCACATTCCTGTGTCTTGAGGTGGGAAGGTTGGATGAGGCCGTGAGGCCCTTTATGAAGAATACGGCTTCAGCATTATAGAAGACCGTAGGCGACACGCACGAATGCATCAGCATGAGCAGATTTGGTAAGCCTGACATTCCAGTAAGTCATGTATATATATATATATATATTATGTATACCTCTCGCGCCGCACGATCCGGTGAGAAGCGTCGGCGGTATGCCAGCCACTCTGGGCTGAACATACGGGAACCCCTGCACAGAAAGCAAACAGCCGAACTACGAAAAGGGAACACGCCAGGACTCAATGGTCCGCCCCGGCCCGCTGTTCAAAATCATGGCCACGGCTAACAACTCGTTGTCTGAAAGCCATGGCACTGCATCGACAATGGCACTCTGACATAAAACTTTGCCCGCGCATTTCACATGGCGGGGATCAAAATGTCCTGGAAAAGGCTGTACACCAGAATTCTTGGCAAGGTATTGGAAAGCTTGCCTGATGACACAAACTACAGAGTGAATAGTGATGGTGCTATAGTCACCCTGTATTCGAAAGCCTCTGCTATGGAAAAGAATGCCAAGTTCGCAGAAGGCGAAAGAGGCCCCTTTTTCGCACTTCCATAGAAGCCCACTGGCAAATTTGCATACGGACTCCCAGTCAGCTGGCTTGTAACGCCACCGTGACGGTGGATCCAGAGCTCGCGGAATCTTGGGTCGCCAGCGAAACAAGCCTTGTGTCGCGGACCATTCCCACGCTGGGAATTGCAGCCTTGCTTGAGCAATTGTCTGTACGGCCGGCTCGTCAACAAAATTGGTAGCATGTGAAGACACGACGTCTGCATGTGTATCGAGCTGGCAGTGCAATTTAACTAGCCACTCTTGGTGAAGCGTAGCGGCTGCGTACATGCTTTTCACCATCTGTGGAAAGACCGGTGCGGATTCTGTTTGTCTTAGGTCTTAGGTGTATACATGGTAGATTGCCAAGATTGGCTTTTGTTCACCCGACTACCCCAAGTCAAGGCACTGTCCCCCAAGCCTTTTCCTTGAGGTGCTCTCCGGCCAGTTCACCATAGTTCACCAATGTAAAAAAGGTAACAGAATCCAGAACCTTACAATTACACATACTACCTAAGGACACACCATTCTTCTGATACCCTGGTGGGAACACCGAACAGCCAAAGAAGACCTACCGAGCTCGGGGCCGACCTGCAGGAGCTGCATAGTAAGGCCATTGGTCGCACATTGGCCAAGGCCACCGGCCGATGTCGGGGGAACAGGTGGAGGGGGTCGCGGGAGAAGGCATAGCTTGGCCAGAGCATCGTTGGGGAGATGAACATCAAGATGTTTATTACAGTTGATTACTTTTTTTACATGTTAATGCATGACGATCAATGGGTGTTTGCTTCGTTTTGGCACTAGGTGTGGATTTCTGAAATTCTTAGTAGTTAATTCGTTTGGAGGGGAAGAGGCCAAAGTGTGTTGACCAACATCCAGACAGCAGAACGACGGCCCAAAGACATGCCTGTACCCTTCAGAAAACCCAAGCTACAGCTATCAGAACCCCCTAAAGATTCCCAAAGGATTTTTTTGTTGTCCTCCAGGTTTAACGGAAAGGGATGTCCCTGGTAGACTGGTAGGCTACCAGTAGTTCTGTGTGGAGCAATATTTAGTGACCTCGTGTGTGGCGAAATGATCAACAAGGTGTGATTCATCCAATCTAGGATGCTTCATGGAATGTTCTTCCTTTGCTTGCCCTTCAGCAATAGGAAGAGCAGTACTGTAGACTCTTGACTCGAGTAATCAAGTGTCAATAACTTGCCTGTCGCAGATGCCTGGACAATCACACAACACCAGACATTTTTCATCAGGTCAAAAGATCTTCGCAAAGCTGGTAGTGACTGCGTCACTTCTTTTTTGCTTTTTCTAGGAGCTCCGAGAGCACAAGGAGATCCTAGCGGAGTGGAAGGCTGAGCACCAGTGTTGGAAGATGCAGCATAGTTTGGAGGGTTCAAAACGGGGAAAGTCAACAGGCAGGGTGGAATATAGTGGATTGAGAGTTGATGGCGCAATCCTCAAGTTTGGTGGTTGTATGGCCAGTGCCAACGCACATCTGAAACCACTAAGATGACTGATCCATGCCGTTTCGGGGGGGGGATTGTGTGAGTTTGTTTCCTTTTCCTCGCTTACCAATAGATGGATTCTATAGTGACTCTGATTTAGGGATCTTCGCTTGGCTTCTGAATGATTTGTAGAACTTTGTAGCTTTTTATTTCTTTCCAGTCGGACACAGCCCTTGAAGCCTTTCACAGGGCATGGCTGCCTTGGAGACCTTGTTTCGGGAGCTTCGTAGTCGAGGCGCCGGTTTCGACCGACGGCGCGGGGAGCACGTGCCTTGTGGAAAGGCTGATGGGGCAGGCGCGGTTATTTCAGCATGTGGCTGGAGGAGGCAATTCCATAGGGTCTACATGGGCGTGCCTTGAAATTGGAGATTATATATATTAATATACATAATATAATATATATTTTTTTATGTTGATATATAGTAGGGGGACCTCCCAGTGCAACCCCCTGGAAGATCAAAGGCCATTGGTTGGGTGTCTCTGAGTGCCTTCCTCTTAAAATGCATACCCACCGGTTCGGGCAATGAAGCTCTTTTGGTGGGTTTGGTTGCAGATTGGGACGTGCGGCACTTCTGCTGCTGCAGCGTCGACCGTTGGGATTTTGTTTCAGCGCTTTGAATTCCATAGGTTTTCCTATGACCCTTCAAGGATTTTGGAAGATATTTTGTGTGTCCTTCATGGGCAGACCACACCACCGCCACAATAAACTTCATCACATGGGAATGGGTCAAAACCTGGATTGTGAAGCTCCATCCGTGCTACATGACATCTTGCAGTGTACGCTTCTAGTGTATGCTGAAGACTTGTTGCTGGGAATCAGTACACCATAAGTACTCTGTCAGAGCCGAGCTCGACAGTTCTCCATATGTAAAGACTAGTGAACCAAAGGCCACGCTGTAGCATTTGAAGCTATTTTTGGCAGTGCTTTTGGAGAGGAATGGACGGATCATCCTGTATATCACAAGATCCACAGATCCATTTACTGACAGTCACCCGACACCAGAAACCAGAGGTCAATCGGGTATGCACTCGTTGCATTGGCTCAAGTGGAAAAAGAGCGTGAGCGAGTACAGTTGCTCTTCATGGTAGCGGAGCCATGGCACCTTTACCAGATCCAGGATCTCCTGCGGTTGAAACTGGGACATCAGTTAGCGCTGAGCGTTTCCAAGGTTTGGAACAGCAAGTGTCCAGTTTAGCTACTATGGCTAGATCCTTGCAAGATGCTATCGGTTCGTTGGTACCTGCAGTAGAAGCATTGACCACACGTGTGAATACGCCACCACCTGTGTATGATGCACCTGAGTCAGGACCACCAGCACCAATGGTTCCTTCACCAGATGGTTTGCAATTGCCCATCCCACCTTCCGGAAGTCCACGAGATAGGAATGTTGACCCGTTGCAAGTTCAGGATCCATGGCAGAATTTCCGTCGTAATGTTCAAGACACGCCTTTCAATAATCCTGACCCAGCAAATGTCAATCTTCCTCCACCAGGGATGCAGCAGTCACCAACCGCACTTCGAGATGCTGTTGAAGTGTACAAAGGAAAGGAAGACTTGAATCCTTTCCGACGAAGTGAGAAATGGATGCCAGCTTATCCAGTTCCCCAACATGACAAATGGACCACACGACCAGAAGAAGTAGAGGGGTTCATTAGCTACATCCAAGAGCTAGCTTCATGGGCTGGATTAGGAGACAATGAATGGCCACGAGAGATCCTTTGGTCCCTTCGAAGTCCATCAGTGATTACCTGGAGTCAGATGAATGCAGCACAGATTACCAGGTCCACTCGGTTACTTTCGATTTTGAAGCAAGTGTTTTCCGGTCATGCTAGGGCAAGCTTGATTTTGGGAAACTATGAATCGTCACAAAACCGAATGAACTGTTGTGGCTATGAGGGAGTTCGTTTGCTTTCACGAGAGTTTGGAATCAAGACCAGAACAGAATTGTTGTTCTTTCGCAATCGAATCACCAGTGGAACTTTCAAGTGTGCCACCATTCCCGAGACCGTTCGACAGATCCAGCATGAGTTGTTTAAGTTTGCACGCATTCAACAATTGGTTGATCCAAGTGTGAACAGTCAACAACTGGAAATCATGGAAGCTGACCAGATTTTGATTCTTCTACGATCGTTGCCAGATGCTTGTCGTCAATGGCTTGTTCTCAATGTTGTGCAGGAAAGCTTTCAGGCATACTCAGATGCAGCTCTGAGGTACGAAGCACAGCAGAGAGCATGGTCAGAGTTGAACCACAAGCCCATTGCACCGTTCAAGGAGAAAGGTAAAGGTAAAGGTGACAAAGGCAAAAGCAAAGGTAAAGGTAAGAGCAAGAATAATGAGCACCAGACCGAGAAGACTGAGACCCGTTCGTGCTTTGAATGTGGAAAGACAGGCCACCTTTCCAAAGATTGCCCCCAGAGATTGCAGAAGTCGATTGATGGCAAGAGCAAAGGCAAAGGAAAAGGTAAAGATAAAGGAAAAGGCAAATCCAAAGGTAAGAAAGGTAAGCGAGCAGCAGAGTTTTCCGAATCAGATGCCTCGTATGATGCATATGAAGATGATGATGCATGGTCAGAAGCAGATGAAGGAGGTCGTCTTGCAACGTTGATTGTAGGAACTCATACATGTGCCAAGGTTGAACCAAAAGAGAAGAAGTCGAGCACATTGTTTGGACGATGGTTTCGTTGCATGTTCACCATCCTGTCATTGTTTTTGACATGTCTCATGATGCATTTGTGTCATCGGTATCGGTATTTCGGACAAGAGTGTTTCCATCCATTCTTTTCGTCGGCCACGGAAACTCCGATTGAAGCAGGGTATTGGCTTGTTGATTCAGGAGCTTCACGAACTGTTGTGAGTTCAGATGCATTAAGTGCATATCGCATCATTCGTGAACGATGTCTTGACAACCCACTTTCGTTCCAGACAGCGAGTGGTGATGCCATCCATGTTTCAAGAGAAGCGTTCATCGAAGTTTACTTCCGAACTCAGGTTGATTTCCAGACGGAGTATGAGAAGTGCAAGACATTGCGCTATGAGCTTCGATGTGTCGTGGCACCAGTGCAGCATAATCTCCTTTCCGTGACGCAACTTGTGGGAAAGGGAGCTAAGTTCGAGATGAGTGGAGATGGAACATTCATCATCTTAGATGAACGAAAACAACTGATTTGCGATGTTTGGTCCGGTGTACCATGGCTTCATGCAAGTCTCAGAAGCAAAGCAGTTGGCATGCCTGCGGACATGGAAGTAGATTCAGAAGGTTCGCAAGATACTATGCATGTTGACAAGCTGTCTAGCAGCCTCGCTTCGCCGACCGATTCGATCGCTATCAAATACTTGCCTAGTGCATTGAAGCAGAAACCAAAGATGCATGCAAGTGTTCTGTTAGGTGAAGAGGAATTTTTCAAAGCTTTGGAAGAAGAATACCCTCCACATGAGGAAGACATGGAAGACCACCCCATTCCAGCAGACTTCGAAGATGAGGAATCATCCAAAGTTGAGAAGACCCCAGAGTTCCCATCCGATTTGAAGCTGTTGAAGAAACGTGAGGAAGAAGAGCTTGTTCTCCACCGACTGCGAGGACACACGCCATTCGATGCCAGATGCATGGATTGCAAGTTGTCCAGGTCTGTCATGAGACATCCTCGAAGCAAAGAAAGTCGCAGTTCATTGTTGGTACAAGCTGATTTCTTTTTCATTGGGGATTACAAATTCCTAGCTTTGTCAGAAGTGATGACTGGGCTGATTGGTTGTGCATTATGTGCCGGTGAAACGAACACGGACATTCGTGCATTTTTCAACCAGTTAGGATTGTTGGTTATGTCACCATCGGAAGCACATCTTGCAGTAGAGGTCAGAACAGATGCCGAGAAAGCAGTTGCTTCGATTTTGAAACGAGCCAACCTTCCTGTTCCCCTTCACATAAATGAAGCGGCGCCCCAGAGTCACCAAACGGTAGGACATTGTGAGAGGACCGTTCGTCGTTTCAAAGAGATGATCAGTTGTTTGCAAGCAGATTTGCGGAGTCACGGATTTTTCTTGAAAGAGACCAAAGAGGCATACCGAGCAGTGACATGTTATGTAGCCCAAACACACAACCACTTTGGCATTGGCAGTGATTTCGGAAATCGTCGATCGCCAATCCAGTTGGTCATTCAAAGAGACTGCACATTGCCCACATCCACCATGTTCGGAGCAATCGTGTTTGCAAAAGTGAGTGATCACATGGAAGGACTAGTAGAAGAAGGTTCCAGATTTGTTTTGGGTGCATACATGCATATTGCATTCGGTAGCTTTGCACATGAAGTGTCAGTCAAATGCAAAGATGGAACAGTCAAGCAGTTCAAGACTGAAGTTCGTCCTTTGAACAAGATTTGTTGGGAGTGTTCGTATTGTCCTGACATTCTCGCAAAGGCGACAGATGATGATGCACCTGCCGGAGAGCTGGACGTCAAGGATTTGCAAGATCCTGTTCATCTGCACGTGCCTGTGTATGATCGGACAAAGTTGTTGCCACCTCCGATCGCTTGGTTGAGGTCAGAAGGTTTGACTAAGGATTGTAAAGCATGTGATGCTATTCGAACCAAGGGTACTAGAAAAGGACATACACATAGCAGAGGATGCTTTCGTCGATATACTGACTGGGTTAAAGCACAACAAGAGAAGTTTGAGGGAAAGCCTGAAGCGGCCAAGAAATCCAGTCGAGCTGAATTGGAAGCCAAACCAAAAGATGGTTCAGTTCCGAAGATGGTAGTGCCTCCAGATGCGAAGCCATTTCGACCATCAATACCTGTTTCCTCCCCTGATCATCCAACCAAAGGTCTTAGGTATGAGAGTAAGCGTCCGCCTGGTTCGCTTCAGCCTCCAACAGTGGTTGAACAGCCACCTGAGACACCTTCTCTGCCTAGTGTACCACCTCCAGTGATTTTGCCAGAAGAAGATGTTCGGATGGATCGGGATGGGGAAGACGAGTCCGAGCCCAATCGCGTGATCGATGTCGAAATGGAACCAGCACCATTTCCGCCACTTCGAGCTGACTCAGAATATGAACCAACTGAGCCTCCAGAGGATATGGCAGTTGACCCAGAGCCAGATGACATGGATATTGGAATGTTTCTTTGTCCACCGCCAGAGCATTCAGGTGCAGGTCACGGCATTCTGTTTCCAATCTTTGTGCCGAAAGGAAAGGACTTAGATGGAGTTCGTGCGTCGAAGTTTTCATTGTGTGGGACAGACATCTTTTTGATCGAACCGTCGCAAGCAGTGTCAGAAGATGGTATGACCAATTTCACTGTTGAACAGGCCATCAAAGGTCGGGAAACAGAGTTGACAGCCATGCATGATTTAGATGTAGGTGATGTTTTGGGAGAGGAGGAAGCCCTTGCATTGTGCGCTTCTCGAGGGACTCAGGCCATTCCATGCAGATGGGTTCTAACAGAGAAAGAATCCAAAGGGGAGTTGATTTGCAGGGCACGATGTGTTGCTCAGCAGATTGCTCGGCTTGAGCCGTCGGCAATGAGGCTAGGTATTTCATCTAGCACACCTTCTCTAGAAAGCTTCAGGATCGTGTTGACCTTGATCTCTGTTTGGGATTTGGTGTGTGAATCGTTGGATATCAGTACAGCCTTTTTGCACTCCGACTTACCTCCAGGAGTCACGGCAGTGGTGCGATTACCAACAGACCTCTCCATGAGTGAAACAATGTACAAACCTGCATTTTTGGACTTGCGTAAGGCAATGAATGGCCTTCGGTCAGCAGCAAAAGCTTGGTTGTTGACTTGTTCCAATGAGTTGAAGGAGATTGGTTTGATCAGTTCGCCATCTGAACCCACCATCCTGTGCGGACAGTTGAAAGAAAGTAGAGCTTTTGGAGTCATCTTGATCTACGTGGATGATTTGCTGATTGGGGCCTCTAGCAAAGAAGGAATCCAAGAAATCAAGGATACCTTGGGTTCTAAGTTGAAGGTGAAATCCACAGGAGTAATCGGTAACTCGAAGACCGAGGGAGGTTCCATTACGTTTCTTGGAAGGGTTGTTCGTAGATTGCCATTTTCGTCCAACATACAAGTGAGAGTTCATCCATCGTATCTTGAGACGGTTTTCCAAGAGTTCGATGTGAAGCCAACCACCATTCCGCCAGATCTCCTGATCGACTTAGGCAAGATCAGTAAGAAACCTGATGAGGTTGAGAAGTTGAGTCCTGAAGGAGCACAACGTTATCGAAGGATACTGGGACGTGTTGCCTGGTGGGGCCAGTCGAGACCAGACCAAGGGAGATTCATCAGTCTCTTGGCGATTGGCCAAGGAGAACCAAATCAGCATCATGAAAATGCTTTGAGGAAATACCTTCGTTTTGTTCGTGCAATTTGTCACTCATGGCATGTGTTTCCGACTGAGTACGTCATGGCAGTGACTTGTCCAAATCAGGAAGGGCTCCTAGTTGTTTCGGATGCTTCTTGGGGTCCAAATGACATGGAAAAGCGAAAATCCACGACCGGGGGAGCCATCTATTGGCATGGATGCCTGTTGAAGGCAGTTTCACGAGTTCAGGGATGTGTGACTTTGTCATCATGTGAAGCAGAAGTCATCTCCTTGTGTACAATGGTAAAAGAAGCCATAGGGATTCGACACCTTGTTGAGTTTGTGAGCAGATTCGACAGAGTTCATGACTTGGAAGAAATGGTGAACACCAAAGCAAATTGGGAGTTCGATGTGGTTGGAAGTAGCAGTTTGGACTACCAGCCAATTCATGTGTTGAGCGATTCGGAATCGTGTCTAGCAGTCATGAAGAATGATGGACTGAGCAGAAGAGTCCGTCACTTGTCGTTGTCGGTTTGCTATGTACAGGAGTTGGTCAACAACGGTGTTGTTATCTTGAACTGGGTAGGTACAGCAGATTGTGTTGCAGATCTTTGCACCAAGATCCTTCCCAAGGAAGCGCATTTTCGGCATGCAGAGAATTTAGGGATTGTAGATGTTGACCCGCCAGAGGGTTGGCAGTTGGAGTGTTCGAAGCAAGCTTCGAAACGGAAACCTAGGGTTTCAGATCCAGAGGGATCGAGTAGTTCACGAGGTGAACGTGCCGAACATGAGGTTCAGGCGGATGTGTCCCGTGAGAGGACGGTGATGTTCGATTCGGAATCGGACGTGCCTGACGATGATCAGGTGGGCTCTGAGCTGGCTAGCAAGCTAGAGCTGGACTTCGCGAAGAAGTTGGTGCCCGTAGAGGTGTTGCCCTTAGAGGTGTTGCCCAGAGAGGTGTTGCCCACAGAGGTGTTGCCCACAGAGGTGTTGCCCGTAGAGGTGTTGCCCGTAGAGGCGGCTACACGATGCCTTCAGTCGTTCCGAAAGAGGTTGATACAGATTGCATCAGCCATCCATATGGGTCAATGCACACACGTGATAGTGGATGTTTGTACTAGTGGCAGAGCCGGTTTTACCCAGATTGAAAACAAGTTTCCTAAGTTGAGAGTTGTTTCAATCACCTTGGATACCCCTTTATCACATGTGTGTAAGATGACTTGTGATTGGATGCAGCAGATCGGGAATTTAGTGACCATCCTTGCTTGGGGATCACCACCGTGTACTGGTGGAAGTCCTATGTTGCAGCTCTGTTCGAATGGGAAGAGTCTCTATGAACGCCATTGGTCCGAGTTTGTCCCAATTCTCCATGATGTTGAATCAATTTTCCAAGAGGGGCATGTCAAGGCGTTGGAGCTTTCGAAGAGTTGTAGATACTGGAAAGAGCAAGAGATTGAGTTGTTTGTGGAACGTCAAGGTCTGAAGCATGAGATCGTGGTAGCGAGATGTGCGTTCTCGACAGAAGAGGTTCGAGCGAAGCACGAGTATAGGATCATGAGCAGTCATGATGAGTTGGCCAACAAGAAGATGCCGGTGTGTAAATGTTTCAAGCATGCGCCCCTGAATCATCAGGATTCGAAGAGTCTTGGTTTATATCCTTATCGTTTCGCACTAAGGTTTGCCAGGAACTTCATGAAGATTTAAATGAGCTCGTCAGTGTTTTAAGATGCATCACAGAAAGTATCACTCTAAGTTTGGCCAGACAAATAGATAGTTTTTCTTGATTCAACTAAGTTGAACCAATCTTCATCTTTTGCTTAGCCATGTCCGACACTCCGGATTCGGGTACCTCTGCAAGAGAAGCTCGGAACCTGGGTGAACCCTATGTTGCAGAAGATGATTTGTTTCATCTCTTAGCAGATGATGTGCGTACAGCAGATCAATCTCCAGACCATCCAGAAAGGTTGGACAATGTTGCGGGAGTGAGTTCAAGTGATCCACCTAGAGGTCCACAAAATGATACCGGATCCAGGGTTGATGCTCAAGGGATTGTTGCACCGCGTCGAAGTTCAGCAGGAACTGTGATGACCACCTTTAGCAGAAGGGAAGTGGTGCATTTCTCCACGTGCCACCATTTGGCACGAGCCGATGTTCGTCGAAGCCGATTTCTTGAGTACAAGACCTGCGAGTGTATCAATTTTGATCTTGTGGAATCTGGACGCCAGTTGTATGGCGATTTTCCGAGAGAAGGTTCACAAGAGCGATTCTTGCACATTGGTCCATACTGCGCTTTTCGGCAGTCGGACACCTTGGTGAAATATCGAGTGTGTGCGAATTGCTATGAGTCGAAGCCACGTGGGTGAGATTCGAAGCTGGAGAGAAATTTCGAAGTGTTTCAAGTTTTTGCTGAGATCCACAGTATTCCGGTCCTAGTTCCTTGATTGTTTTCGATCATTGGAATGCAGATTTAGATGTTCCGATGAGCTGTGGAAGAGAATTCTTTTAAGCAACAGCCGTTCAGCATGGGGGGGTGTGAAGCTCCATCCGTGCTACATGACATCTTGCAGTGTACGCTTCTAGTGTATGCTGAAGACTTGTTGCTGGGAATCAGTACACCATAAGTACTCTGTCAGAGCCGAGCTCGACAGTTCTCCATATGTAAAGACTAGTGAACCAAAGGCCACGCTGTAGCATTTGAAGCTATTTTTGGCAGTGCTTTTGGAGAGGAATGGACGGATCATCCTGTATATCACAAGATCCACAGATCCATTTACTGACAGTCACCCGACACCAGAAACCAGAGGTCAATCGGGTATGCACTCGTTGCATTGGCTCAAGTGGAAAAAGAGCGTGAGCGAGTACAGTTGCTCTTCATGGATCCCTGGTCCACGATGTAAGCTTGATCTTTGTCGGTGGGTCAACCAAGGTACAGTATCTTGGCGTGTTGATCGGCAGCCTTCACCTAGGAAGCCGGTCGGATGTGGAATTAACACATTTGAAGACAACTCATCATATGAGTACACGACAGAATTACTGTAAGTCAGCAGTAGCCTTCAGCTGGACATCGTTTTTGGAAAAAATGATTTGACTGCAAAACCGGTAGGGGCCCACCCAAAACCGATAACATGGGTGATGGCCCACCCAAAACCGATACCCCAAAGAGTTGTAGATGTATAAGAAAACCTGAGACCGATAAGGTACCACCAAAATACATGTAAAGAGATGCCGAAACCTGAAAACCGATAGGGGCCCACCCAAATTATAAACATCCTTTGCGGGTAATAAGTAATATTGTCTGACACTCATACGTATATATGCATCGCAAAGAGCACCACAATGCACAGCATCATGGGACACACATTGACATCCAACATCATTACATGACCTATTTATCACCTGACAACTCGTCAAGTTTGCATTGATTGAAACATTGGGCCGCCTGGCCGCCGGATGGTACCTGGTAGAGTTTACTGTATTCTGGTGCAACACATGACCAATGTTACAATGTTGGTGGACGTTTTGGAAATGCTTTTCGAAGGTCCAGGCAACATTCATTTGTCTCCCCTTTACACGGCCAAGCAAGGAAACGCAACAAACACTTGTTTTGAGGCTGATAGGTCGCAGGCATGTCAGGTGCTCCATGAGCAGTAGCATGATGTAGTGCACTTTGGAATCCGTTTCGCAGGTCGTGGTGTGACGGCCTTGGATTTGGCGGCGGAACATGTGACAGGCGGCTCCAACTAGCACGACGGCGATAGCGCAGCGACACGATGTGAAGGATGTGGTCATGTCGGAGTTTACAAAGCCGTGGTTTCAAAGCCACCCTGTAGGTGATCACCAAAACGAGCCCTGAAGAGTTATTTGAACCCTTTTGAACCCATGGAAAGGCATGAGGTCCAATAGTTCTACTTCCATCCAATTATCTAGAATGTGGGGCAACCGAGAAGGGGATATTCAGGTGGTTTTGTGACCATTATTGAAAACTTTCTGAATTAAAGATCTTGTAGAACATGCACCTACACTCCCAGCTACCAACATCAAGTCAAAAACATTGAGATGATTCCACTTAGTCGGAGATTCGTGCTCGTTCCTGAAATGCTAGGCTGGCCCTTGTTTCGTGTTCAAAAGGATGTGTGATTTAGTTTAAGATCTTATTTACACTCCTTGCATTAATAATTGAAATGGAAATCCACCCTGCTTGGTCTTCGGATTTCATGGTAATGCCATCCACATAGCCATGATTCTTCCAGGGAGTGTAGGGAGCTTCGTGTGATGGTCCTCTACCAACAGGTGGTGAACTCCACGTCCAATATTGTCACAGGGAGCGTGATGCAACATTCTAAACAAAACCGCAGAAACAGGTGGTGGACTCCACTTCAATGATTCGGAGAGTGAGGTTTTCTGTGTTATCGGTTTCTGCCTGAAAACCAGATCACACCTTCTTTGTCCATGTCCTCTGTGCGGGCGGCGTACAGGCGAAAGCCCAGCGCATGGGCCGCACGCGGTCCCAGCGCGCTCCACCCAGGTGCGGACGTGGCAGTTCGCACAACCATGAGAAGTCCGTGTTGCACCACACCCCCGAAGGGCAGTTACTTGTTTGTGTAAGGCTTGCCAAAGACCTGTCTTGTTCCTCAAGATGGGGGGTAACTTGTGCCATCTACTTCTTCAATCCACTATAGATGGGATGTGGAAGATGCTTTTGCTTTGACCTGGATGGTCTTATTGGGTGCAGGTTCCGACCAACTGGTGGCTCCTCTGGGTTGACCTCCCAGGTATTCCAGGTAGTCTATTCTGTTCATTCGCCAGGTGGTCAGCCAAGAGGAAAACCATGAGTTTTCGGCAAGTGCAAAAGGAAAAACGAGGTGAATTCTTGAGTTCGCTTTTAGCAAGTGTCCCCATGTGCATCGCCAACATAGTGACCCGATGTTGTTTGGCCATGTCATGTGCTGCTTGATCAAATCGCAAGCAAACCTGCTTTCACTCGCCGATGCGAACGTGCAAGTCCTAATCGTAATCGTGGCAAAGCTTGTGACAGTCTATCCTTTTTGCTCATTCTTGCTCGATGTTCGAAGAACAGAGGCAAAACCCTTCAGACTTCAGACATGACGAGTCCGAACACGAGTCGCACGAGTCCAAACCTGGAACAATCTCTCACGTGCCTGCAGGTCAAACTGAACCGAAGTCTCGTTCGAAAGGAAAACGCATTCTTAATTAAGGACTATATGGATCATATCTTGAAAGGTAACGCTTTCAATTTAAGAACTGCACATGTATTTGTTACATGTACTTAGTTTTCAAGCAGGCTCGTTGGTTTCACTGCTACCTTGCCCGTATCGGTTTTTTCAGGCGCCGCTCTCCGGACCTGTGAAGACACTGAAGCTCAGCTCCGAGGCGGACGGAGAGAGCGGAGCGCGAGACGGCGCGGCAGCACCGGCGGTTTTGGTCGAGCCACAGACAGACAGAGGTTCTGGTACCAAAGTCCTGACTCTTTTTGTGGCATGTTTTGCGCAATGTCATTGTGGCACATGTGGTTTTTAGATGTAAGACTCGAGCCGAGTGTGCTAACATGTGCTAACTATTGGTGGGTGTTGCTTGCCTCGAGCAAAAGGCTTGCACTTTGGTGTGCTTAGAGTTTAGTCACTGACACGTCCTGCTTGAACAGATCTAGATTGGTGTTTGGGAGGGCAATGACAAACATTCCATGCACCAATCTATGCATTGACATTGGCTGTGTCAGAAACGCCTCGTAACGTCCAAGACACGTTCCTGCATTTGTTTGTAACACGTGTTTCCAAAGGAATGGCTATCGAATCTTCAAGAATGAGGAATGATCTCAAGGTCGCATTTGTAGATTGTGGTGTTCTAGGGCTTGGTGATTGGGTGGTATGTTAGTTCTTGTTTGGTTGTCGGGTTTTTGTGCGCCTCCAATGTTCCTCCGCAATCACCACCATCAATTCAGCAACGCCTGTTAGGTTCCAACAGGGCAATGAAAGGTGCGCCCCTGCTAAGCAGGTTTATGATAAGATATGAAAAATGCAATGTAATGCTCCAGTGCCGCACACTTGTTCCCTGCCTCTTTGCACTGAGCGAATTGGTATTGTAGCTGACAAGCGGTGCCGTGCGATGCCACCCAAAGTTTTGAGAAGGTCCAAGCAGCAAGAGAAGAGACCCCACGGTTACAGTGGACTTTCTTATATTAGATATAAATAGTATTATACGGTGGTTTCAGAGTTGATGGCACAAACCCTAAGATCTCTTTTAGATGAGGGCCCATATCAACCACCAATCTTGGGGTTGCCATCCACTCTGAAGCCCAACAAAAAGTGACCAGAGGCGTCATACCATGTGACGTCAGTCCGAGACTTCGCCCGTGGGATGCCAACGTCCTTGGCACACGACCCACGTCGGTAGAGAGTGTCCTCGTTTCGCCCTCCCTCCGTACTGCAGATGGATGATGATTTGGACCGGATCTATCGGAAGAAGGACCGGATGGTGGCCGGCTTGGCGGGCCTGATTTCCTGACGGACCCAAAGGTTCTCAGTCTTGTGGTGTACCTACTGGAGGAGTACTATTTCAAAGAATACGACGTATCATAAGGTGTCAAAACCTGCTGATTGGGTATGAAAGCGACATATTGTAATTATCAACAAACACTCATAATTGTTTCTGTCTTCTTTCATTTCGGGCAACTCTTTCAGTTAAGTTAAGGACGGCGGCTGGGAATGCCTGTTGGGTAAGCATCAGGGCTAGCTGCTAAGGACCTCCTGCAAGTCAAAGATGAAGAACGAGAGGATAATGTGTTGGAGGAATCCCAAAAGACTTCGCAGAACTCGTTTTGGAGTGTTTTGCGTGACCCCATCAACCGGAGGCGGTGCGTCAGCGTGCGCACCGTGTTCAGTTGCGAGGTGTCGGTGATGTTCTCGCAATGGACCTTTCAACATGGCCTGCCTTTGGTGTCTTGGCAGCGACGGCAACTTGCTTCATGTTGGGTTAGGAGCTGGTGGCCTTCCTGGAGGTTCCAGGAGGCAGCCTCCTGCCTGGGTTAGCAGCGACGGCAACTTGCTTCATGTTTGGGTTCTTGGGATTGTCCCTGCAGGTGGCTTTCCACTGCTCGATTGGTGATGTCTTGAGTGATGTCATATTTTGCACCCTACACATGCAGCTGCAGGTGGCTTTCCATCGAACCTATTAATTGCTTCGCTCTAAATGGCGTCGCGTCGACGTGACGGCCACTGGCGAGACCCAGAGACGCATTTGTTGTAGACCTTGGTGTCCCAGGTCCTTTTTTGACATGGAAGCAAGACATTGAATCTTAAGTTGTGCTGGGCGGATGTTCAAAAGCAACTGCTTCAGGTGATGAAATGGCCGTCTTGGCTGACTTGAAAAATCCTCCTCACAAGAAGGTCATTGTGCTCCCACATTTTTCCAGCTATGAGCACCCCTTAACTGGCGGTTGGAACCAGCCATGGGCCCCGTGCGTGGAATGCAGCCGAAGGTCTTGTTTGGGCTAACTTGTTTGGCTCAGGCGAGGCAAGGTGAGCCCCTACACACCAAGACTTTCCCAACTGCTCAAGTGGGACCGAACTATTTAGTCAGCTGGATTGATATAGGTGATAGATGGTGATAGCTCATGTTGACTAAACATGCAGTTGAGTTAGCTTACAACCCATTCTTTGTCAACTGTTTAGCTATGTCTTCACAACTTGGCCCCTCTTGAGCCAACGATCGAACGAGCGAAACAAGGCTGACATGCAACAAAGTCTCGAACGGGAGACTCAGATCGGCGGCGGTCGCCATCGATGACCAGGTCGAGAATCGATTGTGAGGGACCTTCGAGGATTCGCCATCGATGCGTCATGGTGTCTTAGTGGGTCTTACATTGGTCATTATATGAGCAACCACTTTTGTTGAGGTAGACTACTAAAGTAGTCTACGGCATGCTCTATTTGCTTGTCTATCATAGTATTCGCTTGTGAACGAGATAGGGCCCCCACATAAACGAGATAGTGTGATTTGCTACTAAAGTAGTCTGAGCATGTCTGAGCAAGATACTGTGACATGACCTCCTGCTTAAGTAGTCTAAGCGAGATGGGGGCCCCACATAAGAGATAGCGTATTTGACCCAAATACCAAATTAATGCCATCGCACATATGTATATATATAGAGAGATATATATAATATACATATAATTAATGTTCTATTACTATATACAGTATATATATATATATATTGGTTAATGCATATTAATGCATTCACAGTCACAGACATTGCAATTTGGCTCGTGTGTCGTGGTGTTTTAACAGACATGGAACTCTGACCTTTGCCCGAGGGGGGTATGTGGAACACCGTGGGTCGCCGGATCCTTCCGCGGATCACAGCAGAATCATGTTCACCGGACGTGTTCCTGTGATGAGCAGACTACGGCCTTTGCGGAGGACCCTTTTTTCCTACCAGCCAGGTGCTCACCCGCGCAACTGAACAGGTGGGAGAGCATTAACTGTTGACCTGGAAAGCTAGAGGGGTCAGTTTGAGAGCGCTGGAGGGCACCTCGCTGCGCCTGGTGAGGCCTCCCTTCGGCAACTGCCACGGGAGAAGCTGAAGGCGCGACTGTCCGGCGCGTAATCCGGAGTGACGTGCGACAACGCGTTCCTTATAGGGCTCCCCCCCCACGTAGGGGTGATGATGTTGTTGCGCCTAGGGTTAGGATGTCCATGACAGGTGTCCATGACATACCTATCCCTATTGCAGATGGGGTTGACCGTTGAGGAACAAGTTCGCTTACCCATGTTCCAAGTTCGCGGACGTTCGCAGACGTCCAAGTCCATTACTTCGAAAAAGTCCTGTACAGATTTGTCTCTACCAGGACCCTCCAAGGGGTGTCCAATGGACAACCCACACTACCTATAGGCTTCCATTGGGCACCCCTTGGAGGGTCCTGGTATAGTGTTTGTTTTGCGTTTGGTTGACAGGTAGGATACAGCAAATTTCAGAGTTGTTGAAGACATCAGTTGCCTTTCCAGGTACCAAAGATGCGTTCGGCAGACGGTCGCGGTCCCACTTCCCCTTGGATGGATGGCATTCGATCCATGCGTTCCGTACTACGAGCCCTTTCAACAAAGAGCAGCCTTCAATCAAGCTTCACAAGCCTTCAAGCTCTAGTTGGATTGGCCTGGCATTCACCCAAACCCAAACGGCCTTCGTGCAGGTGTGGCTGGATGCCTTTGAAAAGCAGTGGATACCAGACGCTGGGTCGCCATTTGTCAAAGCTTTTCCCCTTTCTGGCCGTGCGGTGTGCTCTAGAAAAACCTGCACTGCACTTCTCTTGTTGGATTCAAACCGTGCGTTCCACGGTTCTTCTCGGTGTTTCTTAACGCAATGCTTTTCACGGCACGGCCCCCCCCGAACGGAGCTGGGATCCCCAGGAGATGCTGAATGCGGACAAGGTCATCCGCCGCCCAGCCATCCTCGAGGAGGCGCCCCGCGCGTGTCGCTGATGACCGTCGCGACGTACATAGGGACGTCGCGCTGCATGGCTGCATGGAGCGAGGTGGAAGAGTGGGAAGGACGAAAGCCCCAGGGGACCAAACGAGAAATACCTTGCAAAGACAATACATGGACCCTGACAAACAAGGGAGAAAAGTCCATGAACTCAGACAGAGAGAGCCCTGAAGTGGGAGCAAAGAATGTGTCGAGATGTGTGGGGTAGTAGAGCTGGTGAAAATGCTGTGGATACACCCCCGGCAGAGGACCAGATGGAACCTCCTCGAACTCACCGGGTTGGTAATCGGAAAATGGTGACCACGTGCCCTGGACCCTTTCGACCACGAAGAGGCCGATGGTTCTTTTTTGGTATACGTTTGATTCTATAGTTCTATAGTATGACTCCTTTTGATACGTCGCATTGGGAAGTTTGGAATTAAGTGGTGAAGAAAAGCACATTGGTTGGAGCAGCAGGTCTTCCCACCCACCATCACGCTGATTGCAAGCAGCTCGGTGCAACTCAGCACTCACTTACACCCCTTATATACTAATTACAGTGGTTTAAGAGTAGGTGGCACAAGCCCCAAGATGTCCTTTGGGGGATGTGAAATCTACTCTCAATCCATTACTTTGTATTGTCTGATTCAGTTGGAAAGTTCACACCCACAACAGTCCATGCTCACCACCATATCACTCTGCTGCATGCACTGGCGTGCCTTTGGGACAGGAAGAAGCGCAAGCCATTTCTTCTGCCCGGAAACCTGTTGGAGGATGTTGCAGGGGTGTGGTCTCCAACGGGTCTCCAACGGGTAGTTAGCATGTTTATGTTGTGTTATGTTTGTATTGCGGCTCCGACGAGAATTCGCCGGGTTTTTTGTCCAGCGGCTGGTCTAACAGTCTAACGGTCTAAGTGAGCCAAAGTGCTAAAGGTCAGCGCTCAAGTTTCAAAAAAGGATGTCAGAATTTCCTTGAAAATAACGATGTCAATCCCACTGGTTCAAACAATATACGTTCAACCTGCATCCTTCGACTTGGAGGCTTGCTTCCTGACACGGACTATATTGTGTAGCAGTTGACTCACCAGCCCAACATGGGACTCCATGAGTTGTGCAATATGTTGGGTGTTAAAAGATCAAGCGCCCCGCCCCGCCCACTGGAAGCCTTTCGCAGTGGGCCCCTCGCATGCCGACTGCCGACCAGGTGATCGATGGCAACGCTCGCGTGGGTCGTGCCGTGACGCGACGGACGCGCATCCAAAAGGCGGCAGACGCGACCGAAAAGGGTCCGCGCGGAGCGAGTCGCTCGGGGTATCCATCTTCCGGAGCCGGAGTTACTGTGCAAGTTCCTTATAAAAGTTCCCCAAAAGTGCTAGTTGTTGCTTAGTTGCCTCTGTTAATCCTCTTGACATTTGTCATATTGGCTGGATGCAGCGTTTGGATGCTGGTGTTCTTGGATGAAACATGAAGAAACCAAGGAAATGGCACCTCTTTAGAGGCCGTCAAAAAAGGGGAGAGATCAAGCAACATCAATCAGACTTCATTTTGCCTAATCCCAAGGCCAAAAAGGAAAGGGTTGTCAAAAGGAAGCTTCGTAGAATCTGACCCATACCGTCCCCCAGACCAGTGTGATGTGATCTCGCAGCTCCGTGGCTGTTGAGAGGAGCAATAACAAGCCCATGCCTGGCATTCGTTGTGAAGGTATCGACTGCTTGCGTGAAGTTCCTTCTACAGAGAAGGGAGCAAAACAGACCTTAATCTTACCTGCTTGTTTATGTTATTGTGCTGAATGTGCATTATACACACCCAACACACCAATGCCCAAGCACGCAGTGTCACCTTCTCAAGCAATCATCAATTGACTCACGGGGTGCATGCAATTTCTGACGGAAAGGTTCAGATGAAGAAGATGTGGGAGTTGACCCTGGCCACTTGGCTCCACAACTTGCTGCTGGTGAATCGGTGATGATGGCAGAACGTGTGACCGATCTACAAGCTCCTCACAAGTCACAAGCTCTTTTGGAAGATTATGTGCTTGCTATTTGTTTGGGTATGGTTGGCACCCCACTTCACTTCGGGTCCTGTCCAGCGGCTTTACCCAAAGGCGAACCTCTTAGAGAGTAGGAAAGATGGAAGTTATGCTGTAGTTCGAAGCGGATCTGCTGGCTGCAGCTGAATCATTGCCCCTGAAAACCTTTGGGGATGTAGAGGAAAATGGTCTTCCGCAAGTCCAGTTTTCAGGCAAGGGTATGGGAAGGTTGATGGCTGAGAGGTGCCCATGGCCGCATCCAAGACGCCCAAGATCTTGACTTCAACCTGCCGAGGAGAAGGAAGAAACTAAGTTGCGAGTCGGGGCCCAAGAAAATTGGGGAATCATCCGTCCAAGGAGTACTGACTCGGTGGTCCAGGGTTTTCAAGGGCTTGCGGGATGTGTTTTCCCGAGTTAGGTCCAAGCTAAGCACTGAGAATTTGTTACATGGTCCTCATGTTTCATTTCTGTCAGATTCTGATGCTTGGCTTTGTGTCAACAGTTGGCATTGTGGTTCCCTCGAATCGCAGAAATGATGCAGTTGCATTGTTTTATTGCGGGCCGGAATAATCGACGAGATCGACGAGCATTGTGAACATTGTCGAAAATTGGCTGGAAAAGTGTGCCACGGCATCAGCATTTCATTGATTTAAAGCAACAACTGCAATTCCTCAATTCCTTATCTATAGTTTTCTTGGATTGCTTCTGATCTTCCCTTTCTAGTGTTCTATCTTTTGGCGGGGCTTTGGGAAATTAGTCCAAAACTATGTTCACCGCAGACTAACAAAGTGCTAAGTGTGCACAGAGGCCAAATAAGCATCACTAGCATTTTGTTTTGCTGGATAACAGGAGTGTCCCTGTCCCCAAGTGGTTTCTGTATGCTACAGGAAGAACACTTCAGAAATCACCGTGGTTGCCTCCTCAGCCGTCTCTAGATCTCTAAAGCGACCACGTTTGTCCGGCGCTCTGCAGAGAAGGAACGATCTGAATGACTAGATCGAGTGGCTTTCTGAGGACACAGGTAAACATCATCAACTGCAAAAAAGAACAGTGACACCTGGCTCAAGCAGAAAGACTGGCCAGACATGATCTGGAGGGCAAGAAAACACCAGAAAGTTCCATCACACAGCACTCCCACAGGACTGCTACAGGGCTGTTGCATACAGCTGCTTTCTTCTCAAAGTGTGTCCTAGCATTTTTCCATATCAAGGAAAATATGCGATTGTTACATGGAGTCTTGACAATGCCACGTACAAGCACTGCAAGCAGATGATATAATGACTCTGGCCCTTCAAGCGGTCCCGGTACCACCAGCGTCACAGATCACAGATCACAAGGCCCTGCATGTTTCTCCAACAGGTTCTTGTTGCTTGACTTCCCCTTCAAGATAGCAGCCAGGGATGATCATAACCTGAAAAATCACCAGGGTGGCTCTCCCTTTGAAGTCGCTTTTGGGCCAGGTGAGACAGCCAAAATGTACACCAGATTCCCTACCTGAGGTGGCTTTGCGATGGACCCGCCTGGTCTTCTGGGCAAGCTGTGGACAGCTTACAGTCTTCAAGGCTGTGGCTAGTCGATCATGGCCCTGTGGTCCAACGCCCCACCAGAGAACCTTCATCCTTTTTTGTTTTTTTTTTCACATGCGTTCATATGGATGACCAGCTCGTAGGATGCAGTTGAATTTTGCCAAACAGATCTACCAACAAACCAATTTGGCCGCCAGTGTGACTTCTCTTGTGGCCTGAGATCTTGGTTTGGGGTCAGTCTCGAAGGGTCAAGGGTCGCTACTCCTTCGAAGTCGAGGCACATCTTTGCAAGTCCCAGACACGACCCATGGGACTGTCATAGGACTGCCGAGAAACGGCCAGCATTGCTTGAACGGGGGTCTGGCTTGATCGGCAGTCCTATGGCAGTCCCATTAGTCGTGTTTGGGAGTGTGTTTCTTCAACTGGAACGACAATGCATGGATGTTGAAGGACCCGACGATTTGAACTCTCCCAGTTGGGGACCCCAGGTGTTCCGGAGCCGGTCCCGGTCACGTTCCACCTCTCTTGGCATGCATGGATGTTCCGGTTGATGTTTGCTGGTTTCTATGAGTCTCGATCATTTATGCCGGCCACTGCCCTCCAGATTGCACATCTCAGATGCATCACACTGCCAGGGATCCCAGAGCAGCTGTGCAGTCGACGCATGTTTGTCCTAGTTCAGCTGGCAGAACACCTGCCACCAGAAGCCATGATCCACACACACACTATGTAGAGCTTGCTGCAGTAGGTAAGAAACGAAATCTGCGACATTTGCTGGCCGGCTATGTTTGACTGTGTGGCACGACCGTCATGAAAACCCATGAAACAAACCCTTCCTGGAAGACACGGCCTTGATCCACCAAGCACACACTTTGGGGGTTGTTTGGAGGCCACAGGAGATCCAAAGGGGCAACATTTGCTCAACTGCAGCACTGAGTGAGACGTGTCTAGGTGCTTCTACTACCTCTTGAAGGTAGTTAGACCACCCCACCCCCACGACCTCTACACCCTGCCAAGCCGGGCCTTTCGGACCACCGAGAGCTCCGAGGCGAGAGAGGTGCAGCCAAAGAAAGGAACCGCTTCCGGAGGCCGGATGCCTTTTCCTGGTCGGTGGAGGTTGGCAGAAAGTGGTCAACATCCTACAGGGATGTTCTTCTTCACTCGAACGTGAACGCATGTTTTGTGTTGACAAATGGCTTTCGCGAAAGCCATCCCAGCGCAAAAGAGGACTGCAGAAGAGTCAGAAGATCATATAAGCCAAAGCAATGAGGTTTCAGTTTACATGCGCAGCAGGTAGTGGGAAGGCATCCTCACTGTCAGGCACCAGTTTTGCATCCATATGCTTTGCAGGCCATTTGTATACAACAGGTTGAGAGTGACCTTTCTGAATCGTTTTCGAGCAGCATGCGTAATGTTTGTGGAAGTGGTTGCAATGGGAGACTCATAGACATGTTAAAGCTATAAGTTTACTTTGGTGCAAGCATTGAAGCCTTGTGAACCCATCAATTCGCCTAATGCGTTTACGCACAGGTGCAAGAATCCTTCGTCCCTGACTTGCTGTAGATCTGTTTCATGAGAAAGGACCATGGCCCTTGAAGAGGGTCATTTTTCGGTGAATCGCTGCTTGTTCACCGGCAGTCAAAGCAGTCTTGTGCACCAGGCCGGTTATAACTCATGACTCATGACAGGACGTGTACGCACATTTTTCGCGTATCATATTGCAAAATATGTGCAAAACATGTGCAAAACAACTCAGCAGCGCAATTGAACGCTGTCAGTAACTAGAAGGTTTAAAACAGTAGTTCATCTGGACATGCACATGTCCTTCCGCAGACTTCCACACTGTTTGTGATCCAGGTTCGCCATGTCTCCAAAACCCTTTGATGAGAGGCTCCAGTATCACGCTCGTCGCTTCCAAGGAAAGCACCCGCAGAATGTGCTGAAGAGGTACGAGCAGCGGCTTCACCTGGTGCTGAACGCTGAGGAGCTGCAGCAGAATGCGTTTCATGTTGCTGCATGGGTTGCAGAGCTTCCAGCTGAACAGATTTCTTTGCAATATGGTGGTTTGTCTGCTGTGACGCTTTTGCGGCAATATTTGCATGCCCTCCACCATGAGCAAATCCTTTGCGATCACTTGATCAACGTGCTGAGAAAAGCATTTGAAAGGATCAATGCTAATTCTGATGCTGAAAGACAGTGGCCAGGTCTGTTGAGTGATCTTCGGCGGTTTCTTCCAGAGACCAAGGCTACAAAAGCGGCAAGGCTCATGAACAAAGCGATACAGGTTTGGAGAAACACCACATGTGAGACGCAGCAAGAGGAATACGTGGCGTTGTTGGAGCAATCACTTGGTGAAGTTGCAAGTGACGACACATGCCAGATCCGCTCCATTTTCCGTCGTGCTGTGGCTGCATTGTCCCCACCACGTGTCACAAGTGAGCATTCTGGAAGCACAGCAGATGGTGTGCCACAGCCAACAGGAGCCAAACGAGATTTTCAATTTCGGCTTCGGAGCATTGTTCTGAGATGTCTAGATCGCTTAGATTTGGCCGATTTCAGACTGCAGCCGGCAGTGCAGTTTCTCAAGTCGCTTCTTGGTAGATTCCAGGAACTTGACAAAGACACAAGCGAGATCAAGATCGGTTGCAGAAAGCAGTGGTGTTTGCTAGAGACAAAGTGCGGCTTGTTTGCCAGAGTTGTCAGTTCCACAGAGGACTTTGGGATTAAGCGCAGACGCAAGGCGCATTGCCCACATGGCAGGCTGAAGTTCAATTGCCCGAAGTGCAGCCCATGTCAACATGGCAAGACGAGGGGCAAATGTGAGAAATGCAATCCATGCCCACATGGCAAACTCAAGTGGAATTGTGTAGATTGCGAGGGTTGCAAACATGGGCGAGTCAAGCAAAATTGCCGTTTGTGCAATGCTTGCATTCATGGCCGGAACAAGTACAAATGTCCGGAGTGCAAGCGTCCAAAAAGGCGCCGCAGACATGCCAGGTGGGAAGCAGAGTTTGGAACGGGCACCTGCCTGCATTTGGAGTCGCAAAGGTGCCGTTTTAGGTTGGTCATGATTGGTCATGTCCCATTTTCTCGTGATTTCTCGTGTACTTGAAGTCGGGTCCAGGTACACGTGGGGGTTCTCAGATTGGACTGCCCTTTCCTTCTATGGTTGTTTTGGTGTAAGCTGGACATCAACGGTTGGGTTTTAAATTGTCATACGCACATGGGCTTTCTCCCACAGCTTTACATTGTAAGATATGATATGCAGTCCTTGTCCACATGGAAGACTGAAAGAAACCTGTGTGCGGTAAAAGGTTGCCCACATTCACATGACAAGCTAATTAGCAATTGTGTATGTGCAGTACACCGGCTGCCCACATGGAAAACTAAAAAGGAACTGTGCCGAGTGCTCCGGCTGCCTTTATTGGAGAGTGAAGAGTTGCTGCAGCAAGTGCAATTGCTAGCGTTCATGGCCGGAGCAACCATGCATGCAAGGTTTGCAATGGTTGCACTCATGGCTACGCCTACGCCAAGTACAGGTGCAAAAGGTGCAAGCAGGAAACAAGAAGAACCCGCATGAAATGTACTCCGACTCACTAACATGGAAATGGAAAAGAAACCCTGTTCGTAAATTGAAATGTAGTCTTCCAAGGGACCATGCCATTCACTTCCATGTTAGTGAGTCAGCATCACTTTGCATTCCGTGTGTCCTCCACCTGAGTTTCTTCGCTCAGCTTCTCGTCTCGAACCTTGAAACTCGTAGCTTCTCGCAACCGGCAGAAGTCGTGCCGATCCTCGCCAGGTCGTGGTGTCGGCTCCGTTGGCACCGATTCACCACTTCGAGGCATGGTTGGGTGAAGTGCCTTGTTTGGTGATGTGGCCTTACCCAAGAATCCTTCCAAGATACACGGCCTTGACACCAGCCCAGGTGTCAAGGGGATCATATGGCAAGACGTTAGCCGCTAGCCGTCCGTCGCTGGTTGCTGTCGAGTGGGACCGACTTCACCACGACTCACCAGGCGCAAAGGTCGGTGCTGTTGCTGAGCGACGAGGCAGACTTCGGCCCGGTGAGGGCCTGGTTAACCCGTAAACGCTCACGGAGAACAGGTTGCTTTGGGTGAATCAAAAGGCCCCGTTGCTTTGGGAACTGGAAGATTTACCACCCCATTGACCCCTACAAACCAGCCATATGATACCATATGCCATACATGGGTTGTTTGGGAATTACTAATTCAGGCCCAGGGGCCCACGGAGTTTGGACGTCGGCCAGTGGGGTTGGATAGTGTCCTATTATTGAAGCATTTGGCCGTGTTACTTCGGGAGAAGCTGTCGAAGTGAACAGCACGCATACGATCAGCAAACCGATGCAAACCGTTTTTGGTATAGGTGGAGTAGAAGTTACCGAAAAGGATGTGTGTTTTTTGTTCTGGGGTAAATGGCACACAGCTAAACCATGCTTGATATTTGATAATTACACATCCAGGTGTGAAGTCCGGAGCTCCCGGCTTGACTTCCACTTAGATCAATCGCAGGCTCATTGCGAAGCGTATACTCCAGTTATAGTTCCAATATGTTCCACTGGTCACTGGGCCTTCCCCCACCCTAATAGCTTCCATGGGGCTCACCAAGAATAAAGGTTGCTGCTTCTGCCTGTAGCTACCCTGCCAGCCTTAGCAGAGGAGTTGTTCGTGGGGCCAAGCCCTGACATGGGGCCAGGCCCGAGCGGATTTCCGTGCTGCAAAGGAGGACGCTGAAGGCGGGGCGGCCGGCCAAGTTCGGGCAGCGATTGGAATGGAACTCTGAAAGATAGTGATCCCCAGTTCCTGTATCAAAATGGCCTCCAAGTCCCCCTGCCCAGAATGGGGATAATATGATACAATGTGTGCCTAATTATATATTCTGAAAGAATTTGACTGTCCGTTTGTTTCATCTAACAGGCACTAGGTGCTTCGACCAAGATCTTAGATTCCATTGTTTTACTTATTGTCGAAAGGAACACAAAGGCAGGAAGACAATGTTCACAAACGGTGAGGATGTTCGATTTCCATGTGCATGTTTGGGGCACGCCTGGATACTTTCTCCGAAAATGCCAGAGAGTCCAAGCAGCGGCTAGTGTGTTCCTTCCGAGCACTGGCTCGACGCCCACAGACTTTGGCTCGACGCCCAAAGATTGGTGTTTTCCGGTCGAGCAGCCTGCGTTCATCGATGGGACTCACGCAGGAGTAAGGGGAACTGTGCCGGGCACTTGTGAGGTTTAAAATGGAATTCAACAAACATGCGTGTAGCTCAGAAGAATATTGAAATATAGTAAAGCCGGAAAGGACGAAAGAAGCAACCACCTTTGCATCTCATACTCCACCCACCGTCGCCGGAACCTGTGAAACCCAACCTCGGACGTCCATCATCATGCATACTTGTTGAATAAATAATGTCAATGTGTCTTGTCTGGCGAGGTTGAAACACACCTTCCAACAGCCGCACCGTTGCACACCACAAGCGGCTCATGAGCGGCTCACTAGCCGCATGCGTCGCTGGAATCCACTGGCGCGCGTGACCCGTCGCCATGTGCGACGGCCTTTTGAATTCACCGTTGGACAGCCGCTTTGATGCATTAGAGTGGCCCCAACATAATACATTATAAGACTAGCTTCCAAGCAGAACCGCAGTTAATATCTATGTATATATATATTATATGTTTCTATTATTTGTTTGAGGTGAACAGGCAAGAAATCGGAATGACAGAAGTTCTATCTATCTTTGGCTCTCTTTGGCATCACGTCTACGCACTTAAGGCCAGACAGTTCTGATACTAAAATATGTTGATTACGTTTTGCTCCACATTCCTTCATGGCTCGCCACGTTCCCAAAAAGGCTTGCTACGTACAGTTGGATTTTCAGAGGCATGTCAATGTCATGTTTCTTCTCGAATCATTTGACAGGAAAAGACCCAAAGTTCTGTTTCCTGCGAGGTACAATATTTTGGCCGGCTATGTGGGCAATAACATGGAGCCCTGGTTTCTGTACGGTGTTGACATGCCCGATGCACGTCGCCGAGCCATTTTCCAACTGCATGGAGAGAAGTTGCCGAACGGGCAGTATGCCAACTTCGGTTGGCCCAAGTATGTGCCTTTGGCTAAGCAGGGCTGCTCCCAAGGTAATGCTACACCCCAGTCAATCCATGAGACGCCAGCATCTACATTGGGATGGGTGACAATGGGTGTAGGCATAGATTGCATGCATGGTGGGTATTGGGTGCGGTTGGAGAGTTGATGGGTGTGGCGTGGCTCGTTTTCAAGGGTTTCCCTTTTGGGGCTGCGGCCTGCCTTCAGCTGCGACCTGGTGCCCAAACTTTGGGGAATGAGCTTGACAGACAGAGGACAGGTGTAGGAAATCATCGGAAACCAGACTCCATTTGCATGGCCATTTTGTGGGGTGATCCCGGGGGTTTGCATTCGGATGAGCATGGAAATCGTGAAGTTTAGGGCATGGCCCTGAAAGGGAGACATAGGGATACAATGTTCTGAAGGCCAAACGTGGCGTTTTCAACCAAACCGTTGCGATGTGTTCATCGGAATGCACTATTGAAGAGCAACATGGAGCAAGGTCTTCTCAAAGCAAGAGATCTGAAATGGGGTCGCAAGCTTTTTGAGACAGTCATAGAGGTGCCTATTTGTACAACCGGACGCTCACATCTGATTTAATCCAACTCTTTCGGCCAAGGTGAAGGGTGTCTTGACTGAAGATGAGATCAAAAAAGTAGAGGAGGGGGCTGAAAGTGCAGTGCGGGTGTTTACATCGAGGCGGTACTACATTCTTTTCACATCTGAGTTGGAAGCGCACAGTGGTCCGATCGCTCGCTTCTTACAATTACCCTCAGAGTGACGTGAATGGCATGGCACCTAGCAAGACCCATGAAATCCTCTAGCAAAACAGAAAAACCTCCAGTCCAGTAGGACCCTCCGACCCTCCCACAATCTCTCCTGTCTGCCTTGGCATCTACATTCCATTGTTCTTCCCTAAATGGTGTACTTCGCTCTCCCGAACCCTGCACGCCCCAAAGAAGGCAGCGCCCGAGTTGGCTGCCGCACGAGTTGGGCAGCCTCGGTCGTGGCCTCGGTCGTTGCGCCAGGAGATCCACCAGGCGTTCTTCGCCTGGGAGCACCGTCGCTGGCGCCTGTTGGAGGTGATCCGAGGCCGGAGTGGTGGGGCGGTGCTTGGCGATAGGAGGGATAGGGACATGGGCGGGGTGGAGGGAGGGGTAGGGGGAATTGGGTGGACACTCCTCAAACATTGCGGTCTAACAGGTGAAGAATTGGTGTACTTGAGCATGTCAGAATCTTCAGAATGCTGAGGGAAGACCCGATGGAAGAATATCGTGGAAGCTGTGCAAGCTCCCAGGGATGGAAAGTGAGGGAGTGGAAGACCTTGTGCCCATTTGGGTGCTTAGGTTTGGTGATGGGAACCCTCCCAGTTTAGGTGGTTTGAATAGTACGGGTTGTTCAGTACATGGAAGTGGATGGCTCTGGAATTAATATTTGGGCTGGTGTATCGGGGCAAGTGCGTGACATTGCACAGATAAAAATGGCGGAGTGATCCATTTTGAGGGGATTAGCGAAGGATCAAAAAGATGCGTTCTCAGAGCCAGCCGCTCTTGATTTTAATGCTGATCACTGATGTGTCAATTATTTCCCTCCAGTTCCCTTGATATGTGCCTGTCCTGTTGGAAAAGCCATGGGCTGTAACCAAAAGGATTCTGCTCAGAGGGACTTGCCATCCACATAACAACGTTGGCTCCACAGAGTCTACAGTCAGTAGCTGTGTCGGATTTCGACTGAAGAAGATGTCCCTTCGCTCACGAGGCATGAAGTGCGACTTGCTTTCTTTGGTGGAGTGCGATCACTACCAGGCGTCACTTCGGTTCTCACACATTGGCAGAGAACTTAAGACTAGGAAACCAAAAGGCTGTGTATTAGTATATGGTATATGATTGTTTATTGTAGCATATCATAAGAGCAATAGAAGTGATGACTGAACATGAATGCAGGATGTAGAGAAACAAGTTCAAGACTGTTTGGACTTCTCTTTTTGTTCATGTTTCGAAGCTCGTTTGTTGGCAAGCACCCAACTGTGCCTAGGGTGGTTGCAATTTTGCCTGCAGTGGTTGCTTTAAATAGAATGTCTCTCCAGACCAGACATTGGCGGGGTTACTGTAGCTGTCAGTAGCCGATCTTTGTTCATTTCATATATAGTCAACTATAGATGTTTTTCCTTGAGGATTGTCGCCTTTAGAATTGAATGGTAAAAGACGATAGAATATTGAACAAAAGGATTTGAACAATGCGCTGCCCTGTTCTATGATCCACTATATCCACTATATCATGAAAGTTTCTGGGGGATCAAGGTAGGAAGCCTGAGTCAAAAACAATTGCTTTCTGAAAGAAATTATGTGATGTTTTTTCAACTTTTGCAGGAGCACTTCAAACCAGCGCTGCAACAGATGCTTGGACTTCACTGAATGTTCCGTGGGTTCTTTGTCCCCCGACATTTCATGGAATTGATTCTTACGGCGGACATGTTTGCAGGGAAGATGGATTTGCTTGAGGCCCCCGTGAGACTTTTTGCTTGCATAGTTAGAAGCAATGCGGCGAGATGTTTGGCACACACGTTGCACAGAGTCAGTTCAGCTGTGTCCATTTTCCAAATCTGATGAGCACACAGAAATTCAGTGCTGGCTACCAGGCTACCATGCTGAGGAGTCCTGTGACACTCCCTCCAATCAAAAAGGGAAGTGGAAACCATCCCATTTGCTATGAGAATATGATTAGTCTTTCGTGGCCAGAGCATCCGCTTCCATTCTTGTAAAGTCGGTCACAACAGAAGAACTTCTCAGCCTATGAGGTGTTACGCCATGGCCGGCGAATCCAAGTGTTCTGTAGGTTTCTTGCCGGGGTGAACCAGATTCACTCATTCTATTGTTTACAAATTTATACTTCCATGTTGATTGAAGAGAGATACCCTCTTCCTCATCTCAGACATGGACCAATTTGAAGGGCTCTCCTCAGGATGGGATATGACTCCATTTGGCGCAAGCGCCCTCGGGCCTCTAGCAGAGATGGATGTTGTGCCGCGTGGCCGAAGTTCGCCTTGAGCATGGGGGCTGGAGGGAAGGAGTTTCTCAGATTTGCATCAACTTTGAGGTTCCCCAAGGGTTGTTTTGATTTGGCTGCGGGTCCAAACCAGGATGGTTAACCTGCGGTTAGGTCGTTCGCTACATGGTGGCTCTGGTCGGACTCTGGGGTGATCCATGACGATCTACCCACATTTCAGGCCAATGGTGTTTTCTTCATGGAAGGCTATAGAGATGTTGCTGTTGATGCATGCAACAGCGAGGACAGCCAAGACTGCTAAGACTGACAGCTTGCCAGCTCTCCAATTCTGGGATGTTCGGTGTAGGATGGGGTGCAAGAGAGGAGAATATGACCTTTGCCGATTTTCGACGGGAATTTGAGGTAGAACTGTGAGATGTACAGGTTGGCCACAACCGATGCTAAATCCAAGCCGCCCAAAGCAAGCCGAAGGGTTGACATATCACAGTCATCACATGTTCACCTCCACGGGGCACTTGTCAGTCGCGTCAGTCGCGCCGTTTTTTTTCGGCAAAGAAGACGACTGCCACAGCTACTGAGGTGGCCTGGCGGACGGATTTGTTCAGACTACTAGCGGAGGAGTGGGGTGTTGTCCTGCGCCGTAGTGAGG